AAATATTTGGTGCTTATAAAAATAAGCATATTTTATTAGTAATACCACTTTTGAAAATGGTTGTTCTGCTTAATATCTTTAATTTATTAATTACATTAAGACAAAACAGATTTGAGAATAAAATATTGTATATAAGCAGGCATATATTGTATAAATAAATCCTTTTGCAAAATCGTTAAATTACAGATCTGAATTCCTGTTACTTTTGACACCCTTTGAGCAAAAACAGCAGGGTAGCACTTTGTAAATATTCAAAGACATTCCTCATATTTAAAAGAATGTAAAAGTAACAAAAGTTAGCAAAGTGAATATGATGAATGTACATTCATTAAGAATATATATTAACAAATAACAAATATTGAAAATATAACAACATTACAAATGTTCACACCCTATAAATAAAACTTAAACTCATTTTGAGAAAACAGGCTTAACTTTTTTTATTGTTTCTACTGTATATTGTAATAATTAATTTGTTAATATGAGTTTTTCTATTATTTATTTATTTAAATATTATTTTATGTATGTATGCATTTGTGTATGGACACTGTAAAAATACCGGGTTCACACAATTGCTTCATGTTATCCCAACACAAATCAATTAAATTAACTTTTTTTTTTACACATTTAAGTGGATTAAACAACAATAAGGTTGTCCCAAAAAAAGCACAATTATAAAATATATAAAATATATATATATATTTTTTTCTCATATTATTGCTATGCCTATTTATAATAAATAATTACAATCAAATTTATAATAATATATTTTCCTCATACTTTCATGTTTGGAGAATTAGTGTGTTTTTGTGTTTATGGTGTTTGTGCATGAGCATATGCATGTACATTATTTATTATGTCTTTACAGAGTAAATATTTTTTGTTTGACCTAAGGTGAACCTACACTGTTAACAATGTCCTGTATAATCTACTGTAAATCACTCAAAATTACAGCACCATTTTAATCTTGCTCTTAATGTATTTACATTATTGTATCTCTTTACTGTAAAATATACAGTCGTTTTCACAATGCAACTTTAAAATACTGTAACATACTGTATAACTGTTCTGCAGTACAATACCGTTCATATTACAGTTAAATACTGTCATGTACAAAAAAAATCGTTAGCAGCTCTGTAAAAACTTGCTTTTGCCTTAACATTTTTAGTTTAATGAAATTGTCTTTTTTATCCATCTCAACTTTTAAGTTCTCTTAACTTTTAAATATTAAGTTAAACTTTGTGTAACTTAAAAAAAATAGTTGAAACCTGATTACCTTATTAAAATATGCTAAAGCAACATCAAAAGAATTTTGTCTTTTTTTGTCAGAAAATAATTTACAGTGAGTGTAAAGCCAAAAAAGCTTTTTTTTTTTTGCATTGTAGTTAAAAACTTCTGACAGTTTAATAAATTTACAAAAGTGACAACTTGAAAGAACAATTTTGAATGTTTTCTTTTAAATAGAATAAAAAAAAAATAAGTTTATTGAAAGCCCAAACTCTCAAAATTGACAGGTGAATAATTAAAAAACCCCACAGAACACTGAAAAAATTATTCATTGGATTAACTAAATATACATAGGCTGAATTTAAACAAATGAAGTTGAACATTACTACATTTATTTTGTTTAAACCACGAATGTTGCCACATGCAACCATTTATCTTAACAAAAAAATAAATAAATAAATAAAAATCCAATGAATTTATTTTTCAATGTACAATAAAAAAACTAACTGCAGTGTCTGGCCTTAATTTTATACCATAATCTGTGTAGCATAAAGTATTTTAACCTCCCAATATACAGTCTATGAATCATCTGAACATGGTTGGTCAAATTGATCGAATGATGCTCCTACGTAAAGACAACACAGATTACAGGATTAACTTTGACCCAGTGACAAGATGTCCTCTCATGGCTGCTTCAGTTGGGGTTACTATAGGTCACTTTCCAGCGCCTTCATATCAAACACACACAGGATTGTTCTTTTGAGTCCAATTGCAGTCTCCTCTGGCCTGCACTAAAGACTCTTTTAAAAAGTCAGTAGCCTGTGTTCAAACCGCTCCAGAAGTAAAACAAACAGCCTTTCAGGGCTTCAGACAGCCTTTTTTTCTTATTCTCATGCAAGCCAGTCTGAAGTGGGCGCTTCAAATTGCTTGCATGGTCAAATAGTTGAATAATCTTGGGTTAGATATGAGTGGAGTGTCAGCCATCCGCTCAGTGGATTAAAAGCGCCACAGCGTCGACTCTCAAAGACGAAATCTAATTAGCATCCGAAGCACAAAAATTGGCTGGGCATTAATACCTGATGATCATCATCCAAGTGCTTAAGAGTGCAATCCGTAATCGGACTAGATTATGTGCAATGAAACTAGATTACGTGCCAATAAATATTATTGACGTTTTATGCCTAAGACGTTCAGTAAATTACATGTTAAACTGACAATGATGGATGATGCAAATAAATGGTTTGGGCACCTCTCACAAATCTCTCATTTACATTAACATTTTTTATAAGAAGCTTTAAAATATTTTATTTGTGCATACAGTATATTAGATTAGCCAGTACTGCAGCCAAATCTGAAGCTAATCGAACAAAATAACTTACAATAACGGTCCAAAAGTTAGCAGGCCAAGTTGATATGTCAGGGGAAAATATTCAAAAAAAAATTGTTTAAATAAACAGAGCGAAAGTCAAGAGAAAAAAAAATCTAATTTAGTTGGAATTTTATAGTTTGTATAAATTTTTTTAATAGATTTCGTATGACTTTAAATATAAGATCTTTATATTTCTAAAAATGTTTGGTAATAAAAATAATGTTTTTTAGATAAGATTGAATTAGATTCAACTTTATTGTCATTACACATGTACAAGTACAATGCAACAAAATGCATATATATAATATAAATATATCCATTTAATAAATCTTTTTAGTTCAAATGCACCAATATTTATTACCTACATCGTTAAAAAAGCAATTACTTAATGTGTGTAACCCATTGCCTTAAAAATGACAAGTTGATTTTACTTAAATGTATTTCTGTTGTAACTTAGCAGTATAAAGTTCACTTAATTTTTTATTTATGCATATGGCTTATAGTCAATAATTTGAAGGCAATGGGTTTACTTACTTTTTCAACCAATCGTGTTTTTCAGTGTAAATTCTCTGAGAAATATATAAAAATATAATTTTTTCATTCATCAAAAATATTCAACGAAAAGGAACTCAGAAATGACACCAAATTATTATTATTAATATTTTATATTGCTGTTGTAATATACAGTTTAAGTCAGAATTACAATCCCCCTTTTAATTTTTTTAAAAAATATTTCCTAAATGATGTTTAAGAGAGCAAGAAATTTTTTAAGTGTGTCTGATAATATTTTTTCTCCTGGAGAAAGTTTTATTTGTTTTATTTTGGCTAGAATTAAAGCCGATTTAATTTTTTTAAAGCCTTTTTAAGGTCAAAATTATTAGCCCCTTTAAGCTATATATTTTTTAAATAGTCAACAGAACACACCATTGTTATACAATAACTTATTACCCTATTAGCCTAATTACCCTATCCTGCCTAGTTAACGTAGTTAAGCCTTTAAATATCACTTTAAGCTGTATAGAAGTGTCTTGAAAAATATCTAGTCAAATATTATGTACTGTCATCATGACAAAGATAAAATAAATCAGTTATTAGAAATGAGTTCTTAAAACTATTATGTTTAGAAATGTGTTGAAAAAAAAATTCTCTCCGTTAAACAAAAATTGGGGAAAGCAATTACCAGGAGGGCTAATTATTCTGACTTCAACTCTATATAAGAGACCAATAAAGTCTCAAATTAGATTCCTTACAATTTTTTATTGTTATTGTGGTTATTATTAATATTTGTATAAAATAAATTTTTGTGTTGTTTACTTTGTTACAGAAGCAAAAAAGTTTGTTTATTTTGAATATTATGTTATTGTAAAGTATGCTCTATTTGATTGTAATTATATGTCAGCAAAATTAATGGCTATACCATGCAATGAAGACACCCAATAGTTTGTCAAAACAACAATAGTTTGAATACTGAAAAATATATACAAGAATAATTTTGTTATTTAAAGAATCTGTTTAAAATTCTTATCGTCATTTAAAGTTGTAGTTTTTCATTAATATTCCGTTAACCATTAGGTTTTACCCATTGATCATTAAAACGTTTATTATCAATTATTATTTTATATATTTTAATGAGCTCTAGTATGTTGTTTTATTTTTACATAAATCTACATTAAGAATTTTGGTGTGACTCTGGAGTCAGATATAAGTTTCAGTAGTCATGTCAAAGCAGTAGGTATATCAGCATACTATCATCTCAAAAACATTGCAAGAATTAGATGTTAAATTGTTTCCAGTAAGGACTTAGAGAAACTTGTTTATGCCTTTATCAGCAGCAGGGTGGATTACTGTAACGGACTTCTCACTGGTCATCCTAAAAAGACAGTCAGACAGTTGCAGCTCATCCAGTATGCTGCTGCCAGGATTCTGACCAGAAACGTAAAATCAGAGCACATCCTCAGGTCTTTACACTGACTCCCAGTTACATTCAGAATAGATTATTACTTGTCTGTAAAACACTAAATAGCCTGTAGGACCTCAATACATTACAGATATGCTCACTGAATACAAACCTAACAGATCACTCAGATCTTTGAAATCTTTAAGATACTTGACTACTACGCTCCCCACTGCTGGAATCAGCTGTCAGAAATGATCAGATGTGCTCCAGCATTAGACACATTGAAATCAAGACTGAAAACACATCTGTTTAGCTCTGCCTTTACTGAATGAGCACTGAGCTATGTCCGACAGATCACACTATTTTGTCTTTCTTTTCTTTTTCATTCTTTTTATAACCCGTTTTAACACATTTTAATGTGTTTCTAATCATTTTTATTCTTTGATTTTTTTAAACATTTGCAAAAAAAAAAAAAAAAAAACAAGAAACAGGAACTTTTTTTTTTTTTAGATCAAATGTGTATTTCTTTCAATTTGACACAAAGGCAGGCCTCAATAATACACTCCCCCACCACCATCATTGACATTCTGCATCATTTAAAACAACTCACAATGTGCGTTTTATATAAAAGGTCTTACAAAAAAAGGGGAAAACTCCCAGATGACAATACAGTGTAATAAAAATTCCCTTGTAATATCGTCAAGTTGCCAGGGTAATACTGAAACGTCCTGCGCTCTGGACATTATGCCTTCTCGTATGTGCGCACGGCCTGCACTCCCTCAAAGGTCAAGGTCTGCAAACAGAAAAGGAGACATTGAAGAACATCACATATTCACCACACTGATAATCAGTTGCTACATTAATCAGTCCCATCAGGATTTTGGGAGGGACCCCACATAGAAATCTGATGGATGGAAATATATTCAAATGACATGACATTTAAGGTCATATTTGGATTTTAAATATATATAAAATGTCATATGTACAACGTACATTTTAAAATATTGCAAAAATGGCCACTTTTATATTCTTTTTAACCATTAGATTTATAAATATGCACATATATGTTAATATAATTAATATAAATATGAAATATATTTGAACATATATGTAAAATTGTGTAATTTCAATGATGGAAAAAAATCTTTGTAAATTAATGAATATATAAATTATGAACAATGTATATACAGATTAAAATAATGAATATATGAATAATGGAGTCATATATATATATATATATATATATATATATATATATATATATATATATATATATATATATATATATATATATATATATACTTTATATAAATTAATGCTTCAATTTAATATATGAAACAAAATTAAAGCTGATATATTTGAACATATATGAAAAAATTTGTAATTTCAATGGCTAAAATATATATATATATATGAATGATAAACAATATACATGAATATATGATGAATTGTTCCCAGAGATGGGTTGCGGCTGGAAGGGCATCCGCTGCGTAAAAACTTGCTGGATAAGTTGGCGGTTCATTCCGCTGTGGTGACCCCGGATTAATAAAGGGACTAAGCCGACAAGAAAATAAATGAATGAATGAATAATGAATTGTATGAATAAATGAACAATATATATATATATATATGAATGAATGTTTTATTTTTATATATGAAACGCATAAAAAGGCTAAATTTTATATATATGAAAGCTTTAACTTCATATATGAAATACATAAAAAAGTTTAAATTTTATATATGACACACATAAATAAAATTAAAACTAATATGTTTGAACATTTTGTAAAAATGTTTAATTTCAATGGTGAAAATATATACATGAATGAATAATTAAATGAATGAATAAAAGGCAATTTTTGCAATATTTTGAAAAACATGTTGCTTATATGAGATATTTCATACATGTGAAGTTCAAATATGAAATTGTATGTCATATATGTAATTTGCATATAATGCCATATATTAGATTTGTAGCCTAAAATGACTTTTTAACAACTTTTCTCAAACCTTAAGGCACTATTTGCCTTAATTCTTGTATTTTGTTGGTAATATAGACAAAAAAAATCCTAAAATGTTTTTAATCCCAAGAACCACTGGATCCGTAAGTAATGTATAAGCAATATAGTGATTCATATTAATAAAGCTGCTTACCATAACCATTTTACCATCCTTGATTTCTCTGACAAACTTTGTCTCCTTGCCGTCCCACCTCTGAACTTGGACAAGATTGTCTCCTTCCAAGGATACAGTAGACTGAAATGAGACAAAAATATATATTTTAATTTTATTGTATCATTCATTAGGCATAAATACAGATTATATAATAATATTAATAGAGGGTTAAAAACAAAGAAACAACTTCCAAAATAACTCTAGTGAGTTATGAATGAATGAAAAGGCACAAACCTTCACATGTCTATCGTCTGCTGTGGTTTCATCAAACTCCTCTCCCAGTTTGAAGGAAATTTCGGTGTTTTTAAAGGTGCTCAGCGTCTTTATCACAACTTTATCGCCCTCATGACTGATCACAATTGTGGGTTTGGTAACATTGCCTACTTGCCTGGTAGCAAAACCAACACCTGTGGAAGAACCCATCCGAAAATGCAACAATGCTATTATTATTAATGCAACGTTATTAACTGCATATACCATCACTTAATAGACACACACTACTGCACCTTACACATGCAAAGATATTCAAGTAAATGTATATTAATTTTCTTACCCAGTGACTTCATGTACTCGTCGAAGTTCTGGCTGTCAACCAGTTTCCAAGTGGCACAAAATGCATCGACCATGTTGAGAGATGATGAAACACACAGTGGTCCTGCTCGTACAGTCGCTGAGTTCAGTCTCCACAGTGTCCTCGGAATGCAAAGCCCAAACTAATTAATACTGTCAGGGAGGCGGGGCTTCGGGGGGGAAGATCGCGCTGATTGGATGAAGGTTTTGTCTAGCGAAGCTGTGATTTGCTCAAGTATATGGTGAGAAGTGACACTGTAATTTTAGTAGTCTAATCCAATAACAGGTCTGGAAGTTTTGAGGAGCGATATTAAAAAATGTTCATAATTACAATTGTGACGTTTTAAATGAGTGGCCTATAGGATATTAGCATATTGATAGCATCTAAACTGAGGAGTACAAAGCATGTACTGTGTATACAGTGTTTGCCAAGTAGAATGTATATCAATTAATTAATTTCTATGCAGTGGGCTTTAGAAGAAAAATAGAGAAGAAACTCAGCTTGTTTCAGAGCTGGTGAATTCATTTATTTATTTATTACATTTGCATTATTTACATAGTTATTATTACATATGTTTTGTCAATGTACACGTGACATTTAAGCACGTTTTACACTCGAGTTACATGTTTGTTTTTTATTGCAATAACAGGTAATTACAATGAAAATACAGAAGAATAAGTATAATACAAACAATGCAAATATTACTTTTTGCACTAAAAGGGAATGACTAATTTTAAAGAAGAATTACAGTGGTATGGCAAAAAGAAAGACAGTGAGAAAGAAAAAAGACAATAAAATAAAGATAAACAAATAAAGGACACACAAAAAATAAGGCAAATAATGCAGAATATTAAAAACAGCATTGACTGAAAAAATTGATGTCTACAAAACTGTTGCGAACAATTTATATGTGTTGAATTTAAATAAACAAATTCAATTTACTAATGTTCAACTTAATTTGCTTGTTTAAATGCAGACTAAATAAATTGTTTGCAACCACTTAATGCAAAAAAATGAGTAAATCCAGGGAATCATCTTTGAATATTTTTTCAGTGCTGAGTCAGGCCCGATTATCTCTTAATCTTTTTCTGTTTAAAAATTATAAATAAAGAAATCAAATAAATGTATTAGAAGTCTTAATTGCCTTATTGTTATGAGAGTCTGCAATAATATTCAAGTCAAGGGTGTAGAATTGGCATGGCTGAGGGGACGTGTCCCCACCAATATCCTCCAATTATTAAAATGTCCTCACCAATTGAATCACCTTCAATATAAATTAGTGCTCCATCAACCCTAGTAACCTGGATGTGAAAAAAAGGTAAAAGTATGTTCCCTTATTGGGTCCTCCCTCCCCTAAGGAAAGTGTGATTGACTGGATCTGTTTCTGCTGTCAAGTGACTGACAGCTGTAGTTATGTTTGGATGTGAGAAGCACCAAACAAGAACATTTTCCAGTCCTACTTCACTGTGTAAAACGTGGACATAAGATGCTACTTTTCGAAGAAAAGTGTAAGTCACTTAAAGTCAAGTGCACAGGTAGTTCACCATAATATTAACCTAAGCTATGCTAATCGAATTTCAGTTTAGATTTAGGCCTTAATTAATATGAAAAACAATTATATAAAGTGGCTAATTCGTGTCACATGCCTCTTTGTGTCTCATTGACTTTTGCTGCAAAGGAACTTGCTTTATTTGTATAATTAAGTGCTTAAAGCCTTTATTTATTTTTAGGAGCACAAAAAAGATTGATCATTCAAGTACGGATCCAATTCTCATTCACAAAATACAGTGTTCGGTTTACGTTTAGTATATTTACACTTACAAAACTTTCCAATAAATTATATTAGGTTTATACAAAAACTTGAATTGTGGAATTGTTTTCACTCGAGTTACATGCATGCTGTGCATAGCTATAGAGAATAAGATGAAGTTCTATGCTCTATATTATATAGCAAACTAATAAACTGGCATTCTTTCATATGAAAAGGAAATTACTTGTTATGTAACCACATTTTGTATTGGCTGCTTGGGGCAGGTCTTTCTCCAGGGGGCACATCTTTCTCCAGGGGGGCATATAAAGGCTCAAACTGGTGCCTCACTTGCATGCCTGCAAGAAAAGTGAGGGGAAAACTTTTCAATCTCCCTCTGGTGGTCGACTGCGGCATAGGGGCATCAATCACACCATCTCAATGTAAACAAATGAGATGTGAAGTAGACAAAACATTTAATTACACTTATCTAAAGATAGCTTTTGACATTGTCAGCAGTTCTTATCAAACTGATGTAGTGTATGTTCAAGTTTTATTTATTTATTTATTTAATATTTTTGAAAGTCACTTGATGCCTGTATGTGTGTGAATGGAATTGTGTGGGTGTTTCCCAGTGATGGGTTGCAGCTGGAAAGACATCCGCTGCATAAAACATATGCTGAACAAGTTGGCGGTTCAGATTGGCCACCCCAGAATAATAAAGGGACTAAGCCAAAAAGAAAAAGAATTAATGAATGAATGAATGAAGTGGAGAGACATACACATAACATATTTCACAGTAATGAAATTGTACATTTAATCATTTTGCAGACACTTATTTTTTCCAGAGGTGACAAATAAGAACAACAAAAGTAGTAAAAGCAACAAAGTAACAAGATTAGGTAAATACCATGACAATTTCTAGTCAGTCTGATGCAGTAAACACACACTCAAGCTATGCAAACTGTACACTGTAAAACCCAACAGTCAACTTTATCAAGTGAAATGAGTGTATAGTGAACTCAAAATTTACTGAAAGTTAATTCATTTGAAAAGAGTTTTAAACTCAGTGTTGAAGGTCATTCATTCATTTTCTTGTCTGCTTAGTCCCTTTATTAATCTGGGGTCACCACAGCGGAATGAACCGCCAACTTATCCAGCAAGTTTTTACGCAGCGGATGCCCTTCCAGTTGCAACCCTTCTCTGGGAAACATCCACCCACTCATTCACACACACACATACACTACGGACAATTTAGCTTACCCAATTCACCTGTACCACATGTCTTTGGACTGTGGGGGAAACCGGAGCACCCGGAGGAAACCCACGCAAATGCAGGGAGAACATGCAAACTCCACACACTCCAAACGCCAACTGAGCCAAGGCTTGACCTTCTTGCTGTGAGGTGGCACTACTTACTGCGCCACTGCTTCGCCCAGTGTTAAAGTCAGTGAGTTAATTAAATAACTCATTACTTCAGCTTAAATGGAGTAAGGTGACAGTACTCGTATATTAGTATTTTAACTCAAATGGTTTGTAGCAATCGCTTTCCTCAAACAGTTTGAGTTGCCTTAACTTATTGTGTTTTACAGTACTCAGTTGGTTTAAGTTATCTTTATTTATTGGGTTTTACTGTGCTCAAATTGCTTATTTACACAAATAGATTTAGTTTACAGTATTTATTAGGATTCGTTTTGTAAATGGTTTGTTGCAACCGGTTTCCTCAAACAAAGGGTTTGAGTTACTTTAACTTTTTGGGATTACACTCTATCCCCCTAGTGACAAACCCTCACAGGATACAATCTGGATTTCAAAATACTTTATTCTGTGTGATTTATAAGCATGTTTACCCTTAGGGACCTGAATTTTGGTCCCCACGGTGACAAAAGTTCTCATGAGTCTGTGTGCAGATTTAAGTCCCCACCGGGATATAAAAAAGTACACAGAGAGAGAGAAGCTTTCACCGTGCAACCGAATAACTGTGATGGGTAAAAACAAAGATAATAAAGATATGAGAATTCAAATAGGTAAATTGACAAATGTATGTATAGGTATATTACTATAGACATTATTGTTCAGCTATTATTTGCAAATTGAAATGCTAAAAAGGTAGTAGCCTACGTTATGTGTTAACTATTAACTAATATATATTCCTTTATTCATTCCTTCATTTTCTTTTCGGCTCAGTCCCTTTATTAATGCGGGCTCGCCACAGCAGAATCAACCGCCAGCTAAACTGAACTGAACTGAACTGAACTTAAACACTAAAACCTGAACCACACTGTTCCAGTTACTATGACCATTTATGTGAAGCTGCTTTGACACAATCTACATTGTAAAAGCGCTATACAAATAAAGCTGAATTGAATTGAATTGAATTTATCCCGCACATTTTTACGCAGCGGATGTCCTTCCAGATGTAACCCATCACTGGGACATACACACACAAACACTAGCTTACCCAATTCACCTATACCGCATGTCTTTGGACTGAAACAGGAACACCCGAAGGAAATCCACGCGAACGTGGGAGAACTTGCAAACTCCACGCAGAAATGCCAGACTCAGCCGAGGCTCGAACCAGCGACCTTCTTGCTGTGAGGTGAAAGCACTACCTACTGCGCCACCGCATCCGCTAATAATATATATATTAGAGAAGTAAAATCCTATATACAATGAAAACATTTTACTTCTGTCTTTAATTTTTTAGGACTGTCAGTCAAATGCGTCCCAACAATCTCAACAGAATGATTTAGTTCATAACTGTGGTCGGACCATCATAATCAGCACTGAGAAAAGTAACACATATCACGTGACCGTCCTGGTCTTTACCTAGAGCCACAAACACGTTGAAAATACAAGAAGTTTAAAAAAAAATTACATATTAGTTAAAAAATACATAGCGTACTCTTAAAACTTACTTAAACTAAGCAATTCACCGGTCAGGTTATCCTCCCATCCTTTAATAAAATTGTAATGAATTTCTTGAGCAGAATGAGTTGCACTTCTTAAAGCCAGCCGCTAGATGGCTCGCGTGTTTTATAAATGTGAGTGTTGAAAGGTTTACTTCAGAAATTCCTATGAAGCCATTTGGTCAGTTTCTACTGATAGGCTATTTAATTTTGCTGAAACAGTCATAGCACAGCATGACGTTTTCACGATGTTTTATGGCTTTATAAAAGTGTAAGTCACTTCAGTGTTACGTAATGGTTTAATAAGTTAGTATATCAAGGAGAAACATTAGCTTCGATGAATACTTTGTTTTTGTCGTTCATCACTATGTCTTTTTGTTGTTGTTTTTTTCAGGGGAACACACTAAAAATAAATCCCGGAGAATCTCCAGCTACTGTACGACAACAACCGCAAAAAATTAGAGGGACGAAAACCAAACGAAGACAAGGTAGCCGTCCATACTAACGTTATGTCAATAAAAAAGCTAGCTAGATCTAGATAGACATGGAGCTGCACTATATTTAAACTCTTTTGAAATCAACTTGATTTAACAAAAGGCACTGTAGGTGTAAGCATAGGGTAAAAGAGAAAATAAAGAAAACCTAGCTTACATTATCATAACCATTATTTAATTAAACTCACAAATTTAAAGCATAACAATTGCGGTTCATTCTGCTGTGGCGACCCCTGAAAAAGCAGGGTCTTAGCCAAAGAAAACAGAACGATTGAATTAAACACATATCTCAGCATTGGTGATCAGGTTGAACATTCTTTACAATTAATTATTCATTCATTCCTTTTCCTTCAGCTTAGTCCTTTATTCATCAGGGGTTCCACAGTGGAATGAACCGCCAACTTATTCAGCATATATTTTACACTGTAGATGCCCTTCCAGCCACAACCCAGTACTTGGAAACACCTATACGCTCTCTCAAACACTTATACACTGCGGCCTATTTATTTTATTCAATTCACCTATAGCACGTCTTTGGGCTGTGGGGAAAACGGGAGCACTCGGAGGAAACCCACGCCAAAACAAGGAGAACATACAAATTCCACACATCAGTTATTATAGATAAATTATTTTTATGTTTAAACCTTTTGTTGTTGTTTGAGAAAGTGGCCTTTACCGTTTTTCTCAGATGCTTTGGCTCAATTCTCGAGGAAAATCTTTTCAAAACTGTAAGTTTAGATCTCGGAACAGTTAACTTATCACTTAATAGTGGCATTTCTTATTGATTTAAGCAAATTGCAACTGCTTCGGCATGTGTGTGCAAACAGTAAGTACAGTTGTTTGTAGTTTGGACATAATTTAATATATATCGTGTTGAACAAAACTAAATAGTCGATTCTCAACTAAACTGTCAAACTCTTCACAACTTTTTGATCATTTTCAACATGTAAGCCATCACACACAAAACAGTTAATTCAATTATCAAACAATTGTGTACACACATATATACCATAAATATCTGATATTGACATTGTTTGTAATGTCTTAATTGGTAAATGCACACACACACACACACACACACACACACACACACACACACACACACACATATATATATATATATATATATATATATATATATATATATATATATATATATATACTTTATATGTGGGCATAGAATATTTTTTTAAAACTAGATTAATCTCACTGTAATCTTACTTAGTCTTGGAATTAAGCTAGTTAATCTAGATTGAAATGGCTCATATGAATTCTGCCGAGGACATTTAGAATATGTGTGCTACCCAAATAATGACTAAAAGTAAGTCTTTGAGAAAGGGTTTCTCAAGCCAGGTGGCGCATTAGATCAGGGGCTCATCTCCCTTTTTGAACATGCATCACAAACTGCTTGAGAAACTGTTCTACTATGATAATTGGTGATGAAAATAAATGATGTTCAATAAGATGTGCTTATGTTTACAAACTATTCAGTTAATCATGAATTTTGAACTGTAGGCCTACACAAGCTTGAAATAGCGATTTTTGATTACCTTAACTGAACTAAACAGGAATGGAATTAAGACATGTGGAGTATGCATATATTAAAGGCATTATTGAAGTAAACACCGCAATCAAACTATTACCGTTATGTAGGACTTTTCGCCATATTTTCCGCCAAGATCCACACACTCGGCTGGCAGTAAAGGACCACACACACACACAATTGCTGAAGTTTTTTCTTTCCATTTAGCATGCGTTATAAAATTCCATAACACTCTCACCAGTCCTTACTTCTTATTTGCCTCTAATACCCCAGTTTGTCATGGTGGCATGAATGAAATGTTCATGAGTGAAGGTTAAACTTTCGAACTGCAGTTAGTCACCCTAAATTATATAAAACTCTTACATGAAAGCACTTCACGTAAACACCTTTATTGTGTTATTGTCTATTAAGGCAAATAACTAGATTACAGATGTCCATGTAAACGTAGTCAGTAGTGTTTACGAAGTAAGAACGCTGAAAAGGACTTAAATTACACTTTCAGTTTTGATCGTAGAGATAAGATCAATACATCAATTAAATCTGTTAGGTGTCTATTTTTTTGTGTACACTTACAATGACAACAAATGTGTGTGCTTTTGCAAAATAAGAATAATAAACAGTGTAGGCATTGTCTGTTTTCTCTCTCTGCTAACTATTTTTAGAAACGCGTCAGTAAAATTCAACTGTATATATATATATATATATATATATATATATATATATATATATATATGTGTGTGTGTATGTATATATATATATTTTGGGGGGGGGGGCTTTGTGGTAGCATAAGAAATATGAAATATACAATACAGTAATTGGACAAGCAAGATTGCATGTAATACATTCGTAAATAATGTACTGTATAAACACAAATGTTAATTTATTTGTTTTCCATGTACTATTCACCCTTCTCAACAAATATCAGATTTTGTGAACCTTAAGGCCCCGTTTACACTAATACGTTTTAGTTTTAAAACGGCGTTTTAGAATGAAAACGATCCGCGTCCACACTCGCGTTTTACCCAGCGTTTCTGAACTGCTCTCCGTCCACACCAAAACGCTGAAAACGCACATCACGTGACCACACAGACGCTCTCGGGCAAGCGCTGCAGCCCATGTACCCAGATGAGAGCTCTGCTAGTCGGACTTCTCATCAAGCATCTCCCGCTGGATCTAATCTCACTATATTTATTAAACGGGATATTTCATTTATCTTGTTGTCTTTATCTAACGACATATTCCCTGACTTTGGGCATTGGAATCTATTACTTGTTCTCAGGTAACGTGTTTTGGCTGAGCGCAAAGATAAGTTAATGATTAATGTAACCACGTACATTCTGTATATTGACTTATCGCTTGCCTTTATTTCCTATAATGTATAAACTTATTGTATGTTATACTTTTAAAATGGCCATTATCGATTCTTAAAACTGATACTCAGCAAAAGAGAGGGGATGTTTCGTATTTTCACTGAAATTGAAAGGAGGCAGTTGTTATCGGCTCCGTTTTGTTATAAATATCCACACAGTGAAGATGACGCTCATGCAGCACGGCGCCTCAACATGTCTGCTGTCTAAGTTGCTAATATTAAAATGAAAATAGGCAGTTCCTTAAATCATGTTTACATTTTATTGTTGAGAAAGTGAAACAACGAAGCCAGGGTGATGTGAATGAAGTTATAAAGTACACTGTTCCCTTTGAAGATTTACCCGTGTCCTCGGTATAGTCTGCTTTTCCATATCAAACTGAGAAGAAGAGACTGCAGCCTTGATCAAACTTGCGAAGTCTGAACTTACACGGAGAAGATTCAGGACTGAACTGTGTGTTAGGCTACTTAATATTCAGGAAAAGCCCCAATCAGAGAGGCGAACGTCTGCAGCCCCGCCTCCGTTTTCAGATGTCTCCGTTTTCCATCATCCACACTGAGACGGAGCAGCAGCGTTTCAAAATGAAAACGGCCTCTCCAGCGTTTTCGAAACGCTCCGTTTTCGGCGCTCGAGAACTCCGGCGTAGTGTGGACGGTTGGCGTAACCGTAGCAAAACTTATGCGTTTTCAAACTAAAACGCACTAGTGTAAACGGGGCCTAACTGTCATGGTGAAAAAGCAACCAATCATTTTGAGCCGCGTGGTTCACACTATGACAAATACACTTTATGTTTTGGTGGCCTTGGCCAAATTAGTGACACAATAACTAGGTTTTGATGCATGAATTAAATGTTTTGGGTGAGTAACTACATTTTGCAGACATGCAATAAAGTTCTGTAGTTCCAGCGAACAGTTTTGAGATTTGCACTCGCATTTTAGAGACATTTAAGTCTGTTTTAAAAAAAATGTGCCAAAGCAATTGAGAAAAACTGTAAAAATGTGTATTGTAACTATCTTTAGGCAAAACCTAATGAAGTGTGATAAAACGAAACTGGTTTTCCTGTTGTGTCTCACCTCAATTCTGGTTTATTTTTAGTTCAGAACACTTAATTTAATTTGAGTTTTCTTTCATTAAAGTAATCTTCATGTGTGCGCCATTGATCTCTCTCATTTAAGGACAACAGGGAGAACAACTTATTCAGTTATTTGTCATGATCCATGAGCTCAAAACAGTTATGTCATGATGTTTGTTACGTAAAAAGTGAGAAATCTTTTGCCAGCAGTGAAACTCGATCCGTTTTCTCTGTTTGTTTGCCATTTTGATCCATGATACTCAGGCTTATGAAAGCTTTAGCCATGCATGCTCTTTGCCATTGTTTCCCAATCCACTGTTTATTGTTTTAAAAGAACAATTTACCCTCAAAAGTATCTCAAAACTCTTAAAAGCTGAAGGAAATCACATGATGCAATTTAACGTTGAGTTGAGTTTAGTCTGTACTGGGAATAAACCTCAGTGTCACCACAAACCATAAGGCCTATAACCACTCCCTTGTTTGTCTAAATGCAAAGCCAAGGAGGAGGCCTGAATGTAACCATGGCACTTTTGGGTGTAGTGTGAATATTTAACGTTATTAAATAAAAAATTTTAGAAAACATGTTAATACCACGTGCATTTCACCTAATAGATGGAGACAAGCTGTTTCTACAAAGCCCTTAAGTACTACATCAAAAACGCACCCCACAGCACTGAGAGAACAAAAGGTTTATTTTTAGGCACACAGTTTGCGGTCCTGATATTTATGCAAGTAGGATATGCAAACATGTGCAATTCCATAAAGTCACACACAATTAGATGCCGCTAAATTAATACTATGGTATGCTATAATGTCATCGGTATGGCAGAATGTTCTGAACTAACAGAACTAGACCCTGCTGTTTTCAATTAAACTGGCAGGCTGAAAGGTATGTCCGGCCGCCTCAGATCTTACAGTCGGCCAAGCAAGAGTAAAAAGATGAGCTTGGCTGCTCTTTTCTTTTATAAGTGCGCTTTCGAAGTTTCTTTTTTGAACCTACGTAACATGGAATTTTAAACAGAAACGTGTGTTTCACAGCTTGCCAGGGCTATGTCGGTGGACTAAATTCTTGACATGAAGATTAATTCAGCTGTAGAAATTTAACATGGGAGATTTTTGTTAGAATTTTGTTGAATTTTTTGCTAGGATGTTCTGGCTGGTTTTCTTTTGACAGATGAAGGACTAGAAGGACAAAAGGATGGACGGGAAAGATGTGGATATAGATGGATAGAGGATTAACAAAGTGATGGATGGACGGACGGACAGGCGGGCGGGCGGGCTTATAGATGGACGGATGGACGGACAGACAGACCCTTGGATGGATTAATAAATGGATGAAAGGACAGACAGACAGATTTACAGACAGTTTTATACCCATGAGTGCACGTACACTCAAATTTGTGCCAGACTCCAAGAAAGATACATTTCTGGTGGGAAAAAAAGATCTTGTTGTGGTTTTCTAACTGCTGAGTAGGAGTGCTGCAGTGTGTCAGGCTTTGGCCTTGACCATACCAAACTGCTTCTCTCTGCATTTTACAAAACCTGTTGCTCACCATCATGAAGTTCATTCAAAATGTCCATCACAATAGACAGACAGACAGACAGACAGACAGACAGACAGACAGACAGACAGACAGACAGATAGATAGATAGATAGATAGATAGATAGATAGATAGATAGATAGATAGATAGATAGATAGATAGATAGATAGATAGATAGATAGATAGATAGATAGACCTGCGGATGGATTAATAGTTGAATGAAAGAACAGACAGACAGAAAGACAGAGGACGGACAGATAGATAGACAGACAGACAGACCGACCGACCCGCGGATGGATTAATAGTTGAATGAAAGGACAGACAGACAGACAGAAAGACAGAGGACGGACAGATAGATAGACAGACAGACAAACAGACAGACCGACCGACCGACCCGCAAATAGATTAATAGTTGAATGAAAGGACAGACAGAAAGACAGAGGAAGGACAGATAGATAGATAGATAGATAGATAGATAGATAGATAGATAGATAGATAGATAGATAGATAGATAGATAGATAGATAGATAGATAGATAGATAGATAGATACATACATACATACATATATAGATAAATATATAGATAAATAGATAGACAGACACAGACAAACTGATGGAATAATTGTTGGATGACAGAAAGAAAGAAAGAAAGAAAGAAAGAAAGAAAGAAAGAAAGAAAGATAAATAATTGGGTCAGTGGATGGATAGATAGCTCCTCAGTTTGCCTCTGTGAAATCATATGTAATCATGCTGTGTGCCGGTGGTGTAAAGCTTGACCTACAGCTGCAGGCAGAGTTTTAGTTGAAGACCGAGCTTGTGTTTTACTGAGTTATTAAAAACTCTTCAAAGTCTCATTTCATGACTGAAGAACATTCAGGTTTACAGGGGGCACATTTCATTTGCTCACATTTGATCATGTGAATGCAAAACACAAGAAATGCAAGCTATTTTACCTTGTAAGGATTTTAATGCCTGAATTTGGCCTTTGATAACGTGCAATATTTTTTACATACGATAATAAACATCAAATATTTAGCTAAATTCCTTTTATGCTACATAACCACACCTTGTCCTTGATACACACAAATCCCAGATTTGTCTAAAGCCTGTTTCAGAGTAAAGTGCAAATACACAGTTTACTTTTTTTTTTTTTTTCTGTTCAGCACATGTGGCTGGCAGACCTGAGTGAAAGCATGTGTTTTCATTTAGCCCTTCAAATAAATAGGAAACTCTGAGAACAGAGGAAAAAGTTGAATCTAATTAACTCGTTTTAATTTCAGACTCTTTTAAGGCTTTCATTTGTCAGTCAGAGGGTGGTCAATTTGCCACTGGTGAATTATATGAATATGTTAACCCACATTTATGTCAGCACTTAAAAGAACACAGCAATAAGCAGTCAGGTGGCTTGACGATGATCTTTACTGGCCCAGAGCAGAAGACTATGTACAGTAACTCTAAAGATCCCAGAAAACAGTGCTCCATTTATGTGTGCTGGCCAACTTCCCGCAGTGGAAAAACGCTGTCGGAAAAAAGAAGAATGGAAAAAAAGAATGCTCAAGTTAAGTTCCTGCTGGAGTAGAATGAATGATCTTAATTTATTCCAGTAGGGGTAAACTAGATAGATCTACTTGTGCTGCAAATCACCACACATCTGACCTGATTGCGCTCTGAAAATGGAATTTCTGAGAAAATATTTAGTGTATGTGAATTGCATATGGGTAGTTGACATCAGTGCTATTTTGCTGTTTTTATCATTTATTTTTAATTTTTAAATGTTTGATAATTTTAGCTGCGTCCCAAATGGCACACTGTGCACTTATGCACTATGTACTTACGCACTCACACACTCAAAAGCATAGTATATGAATTTAGTCTGGTCCCAAATGGAACACTTACGTTTTTTCAAAGCAGATGACCAAACTGCCAAATAATACCTGCCATAAGTATAACCCATTCACCATCAGGTCTGCCCTTTAATAGTTAGGAAATAATTTGCTCTGATCTGTATCCTAAATAATATTATTTATTAAAATACTAGATAGCAGTGGCGCAGTAGGTAGTGCCGTCGCCTCACAGCAAGAAGGTCGCTCGTTCGTAAGTGTTCAAAAAACATGTTTCTTTAAAAAAGGGGTTTGTAGGTGTCTGTTAAACAAGATGCATGTATTTTATTATACACTGCCTCGCACATGGAGGTTAAATTGTAAAATAAAAATATATATGTGCAGTCTTTCATGGTCATCTCTTAATAGGTGTAAGAAAGCAAACCTGTCACTGTTTATTTAATATGCACATAATGTCATTCAGAACCATCCAATATCCCTCAAAACATTAAAAACATCAACAAGTTGGATCAATTAATTAGATGTAATTGAATTAAATATATAAATTTAGTTTATTGAGGCATATTACCGAACTTAACCGAAAACTTGATCCCCCCGATCGTCAATGTATAACTTGCACCCTGGGCATAATCACTTTTGTATAGGAGAATTTTGCTTTCACAATCAAAAATAAATCCAATATCAGTGTTCAGCATATGTTTTATGCTGAGGATGCTCTTCCAGTCATAAGCCAGTACTGGGAAAGCAAAATGTAGTACTCATTTTAATTAACTAGATAACTCATGTTGGGTGGTGGCGCAGTAGGTAGCAATGTCGCCTCACAGCAAGAAGGTCGCTGATTTAGCTGAGATAGTTGGCAATTCTGTGTGGAGTTTGCATGTTCTCCCCGTGTTGGCGTGGATTTCCTCCAGGTGCTCTGGTTTCCACCACAAGTCCAAAGACGTGCACTATAGGTGAATTAGGTAGGCTAAATTGTCCTTAGTGTGCGTGAATAGGATTGCATGGGTGTTTCCCAGTGATGGGTTGCAACTTGAAGGGCATTCACTGCGTAAAACATGCTAGATTTGTTGGCAGTTCATTTTGCTGTGACAACCCCAGATTAATAAAGCAAAAACTTTTAGTCTGTTAAAGTTTTAAGGATATCTATTAGCTAGTGTGCTACACAACAGTGACTAAATTTGCGTTTAGAAGACATAAAACTTATATAAAAATGCATAGCTTACAGTTTGTCACTTCCGCCTAAATCAGGAGTGTCAAAGTCAATTTCTGGAGGGCCACAGCTCTGCATAGTTTAGTTCCAACCCTGCTTCAACACACCTATCTTTAGGTATCAAATGAGCCTGAATGACTCAATTAGTTTGGTCTGCTGTTTAATTAGGAATGGCACTAAACTGTGCAGAGCTGTGGCCCTCCAGGAATCAAGTTTGAGACCTATGCCATTTTTTCACTTCATATCAATCACTTCATACTACATTTTCTCATCAAATCTTGATCAATCAAATTCTCTCTCTAGAATCCGACATGCACCGCCCCCTTTAAGATGCTTTTCATTTGATGCACTTGAGCTTAACCACTCACTGGCAGAGCTGTGATATAGCTGTGATAATCCCAGTTGTAACAGCTATTGGCTGTTTTTTAAGCGGCGAGGAGCTACTCTAATGTCTAACCATCTCTACATTTTTTAGTTAAGATTACGTAAAACATAAAAATAAAATATCAAACATAAATATAATAAAAACAAGCACATTTAAAACCACTTCAACTGACTTTAAATCAATTTGCATTGTGAAGCCAAAATGGTGCCTTAAAAAAGTTAAAGTCTGAAAAAAAATGGAAACCAGTTAATAAACTTAAGATATACAGTTTCCATTATATATTCATATACATTTTGAACTTAAACTCTTGATATTGATATACAGTACAAAAAAGTTTATGGCCACATATGTGTCAACTACCCATACACTTATTGTTCTACAGTAGTCAACATTTGACGTGGATCAAAACCTTTCATCAAAGTTGTGCAAAAACTATTGAACAACACCCATTTTTGTCCTAAGAGCAATTCCAGCATGATGGATGTGACATTCGCAGAAGAAATTCAAATTGTGAATTTACAATGAAAGTATATGTAGACATCTGTTTATATTTTCCAACACAACTAACCACAGAGTTAAGGGATCAGAAAAAATATCAATCATTAAAACATTTTTATATACTATATTAACTGAGGAAAATAAACATACGATATTGATGTGACCAAAAAAGTTTGCAGTATACAAAACACATTGTAGAAATTCTGTCAATTAAACTGCACAACCTAAAAGAAATAATGCTAATCAAAAGGATAAGAGTTGGCTGACTAGAACAAAAAACTATTTTATTTTATTTAACATATTTGCATTTGTGAGGGAAAGCTTTGTTATGGATGTAACTTCTCTCCGTTATGGATTTGAGAGATGTGAAATTGCCACTTTTTTGACCTTGGTAAGTCAAATTTAATAGTTTAAAAACATTGACAGATACGATTTTGGGTATTTTTACAGACCTGTAAAATATAAGGGCGAGGCAGTGGCGCAGTAGGTAGTGCTGTCGCCTCACAGCAAGAAGGTCGCTGGGCCGCTGGTTCGAACCTCGGCTCAGTTGGCGTTTCTGTGTGCATGTTTGCATGTTCTCCCTGCCTTCGCGTAGGCTTCCTCCGGGTGCTCCGGTTTCCCCCACAGTCCAAAGACATGTGGTACAGGTGAATTGGGTAGGCTAAATTGTCCGTAGAGTATGAGTGTGTGTGTGAATGTTTCCCAGAGATGGGTTGCGGCTGGAAGGGCATCCGCTGCGTAAAAACTTGCTGGATAAGTTGGCGGTTCATTCTGCTGTGGCGACCCCGGATTAATAAAGGGACTAAGCCAACAAGAAAATGAATGAATGAATGAATGTAAAATATAAACCTACACAAAAAAACTAAAAAGGGTTTTGCTATTTTGGTGAAAACTTAACTTTTTGCATGGCAAGGTTGACATTTGCATAGAATTGCAGACAATTTTGAAAGACTTTTTGATCCACTTCAATTGTTCACTTCTACTACACTACCTGACAAAAGTCTTATCTTATCAATCCCAGTTGTAATAGCAACAAATAATAACTTGACTTCTAGTTAATCATTTGGAAAAGTGGCAAAAGGTAGAAAGGTAAATACTGCAGAAGACCTTTTGGACCCCACATGGACCCAGGATTCTCATAGAAATCAGTCAAGTTTGGTGAAGAAAAAATCATGGTTTGGGGTTACTTTCAGTATGGGGTGCGTGAGAGATCTGCAGAGTGGATGGAAACATCAACAACCTGAGGTATCAAGACATTTGTGCTGCCCATTACATCACATACCACAAGAGAGGGCACATTCTTCAGCAGGACAGTGCTCCTTCTCATACTTCAGCCTCCACATTAAAGTTCCTGAAAGGTCAAGGTGCTCCATGATTGACCAGCGCAGTCACCAGACATGAATATTATTATTGAACATGTCTGGGGTAAAATGAAGGAGGAGGCACGGAAGATGAATCCAAAGAATCTTGATTAACTCTGGGAGTCCTGCAAGAATGTTTTGTTTGCCATTTCAGATGACTTTTTTAATAAGTTATTTGAGTCATTGCAGAGATGTATGGATGCAGTCCTCTTAGCTCATGGGAGTCTTACACAATATTCATTATTTTTCCACTGCACCATGACTTTATATTCTATACTGTACATTATTTCTGTTAAGTAACAAGACTTTTGGCTGAGCAAAGTCTGATCTTACTGTCCTAATTAAATAATTAAAAATCAAGGCATGATCATATTATATTTTGGTAATTTAGAGGCCTTTGCCTTTCATATAAGTCACTACTGATACCAAATGATCAACTAAAAGTCAAGTTATTATTTGTTGTTCCTAAAACTTGGATAGGCAGCAAGACTTTTGTCAGGTAGTGTATAGAGTAAATCTGTGAAATGATTTGATTTCACGATCACAGTTCATAAATAGTTCACATAAAAAACAGCTGTTTGGCATGAGTTACAAGAGTACGAAACGAATAAAATAAATACAAATGCTTAAACACCACTCTTTGGATGTCAGTGACAGTGTCCATTTCACAGTTTCTTTAAACGTTGTGAAAGGCAGAAAGTGTCAGTGTTTGAGGCTTCTGCTAGATGTCAAGATCATCCGGCCTGGCTCGACTGCTCGCTCGACTACTGGGTCGAGGTTCAAGCTCTTTTAGCAGCAGAAGATCCTTCCCTAGAGTCACTTTCTCCGGGTAAGGAAAGCGCTGGCTGTGACCCAACTGGTTCTGTTCTGTGCTGTAATTAGTCCAGTTCTGCTCATTAGCCTGCTTGTCGTAATTATCAGAGGAGTTGGATTTATCGACAGTGTCTAGATTGTAGCCTAGATTTGGGACGGGGGCCGAGCAGTCATTGTAATACTCATAGCCGGACAGATTCCTCGGACAGGGCTTGATATTGCAGGCACTGTCAAATTTCTTCTCAGACTCCCTAATTTGGTCTTTCATTCTCTTAAAAATCACATAAAAAAACTCAAATACGTTGAGAGCCAGAGAGACCAGCGAGACGACCAGCATGAAGATGATGAAAACTGTCTTCTCTGTGGGACGGGACAGAAAACAGTCCACCTTATGCGGACAAGGGAACTTCTCGCACGTATAAACAGCCGACAGCTTGAATCCGTAAAGATGCCACTGTATTAAAAGGAAGACAATTTCAAATACGGACTTCAACACGATGCTCACTATATACGTGTAAAATATCCCTCCCCTCATCTTGATCTTCCCGTGATCCTCCAATCCGTACTTGAACTTCCTCGTTTCGATTTTGCGCAGGAGCACGTCCACATCTCCGCCTTTGCTTTGGATGTCTCGTAGTTTGTCCTCTTTTTTATTCAGTTTCTCCTCTTTGTTCATAAGGAACACCACATGGCTGAGATATAAGAGGGTCGGCATGGACACAAATATAATCTGCAGCACCCAGAAGCGCACGTGGGAGATGGGGAAGGACTTATCATAGCACACGTTCTCACATCCAGGTTGCAGCGTGTTGCATTTGAAGGCCGACTGCTCGTCTCCCCAGGCGGACTCCACCGCCGTCCCCAACACCAGGATCCGGAAGATGAAGAGGACGGAGAGCCAGACTTTGCCTCCAGCAGTGGAGTACGCCTGGACCTTGTCAAGAAGTTTCCCCAGTGCGCTCCAGTCACCCATGATGAAAGATGTTCTGGATTCAAGTAGACGACCAACCTTTAAGCTGACAAAGGGAGTAAATTCAATGAGTATTATAAACACAGATGAACACTGGTTGTTAAACACATCCGAGTGGTCTTTTCACTCCTCGTCTTACTGCCAAATCCAATAACATTAAAAGTCCTTGGCTCATCTTCGGAAATGCTCATGGGTCAATCGCCTTTCTGAAGGAACGTTGGGGGGTTTTGACTTTTCTGCAGATACTTAAACCCAAAAGGTGTTGCTCTTTTTAACTTTACAAATTAGGAAGAGTAAATGCAAACAGCTAAAACACATACTTGAAGGGATAGTTCACCCAAAATTTAATTATTACTCACTATTTATTCAAGCTCAAGTGTTTACAAACCACTGAAAACCTGTAATCATTGACTTACACTGTAGAAAAACACAAATATAGTCAGTGGCGGATTTAGGCTTGGGCAAAATGGGTGATCGCCCAGGGTGGCATCTTGCTGGGGGGCAGGATGGGGAGACGGTGCAAAAAAACGACAAAAAAAAGAAAAAGAGCCCCAGTAAGCTTCTAGATACAATTTACTTTATGCAAGTGTATTAATTTAGAGTGGTGATCCCTAGAATCAAGACATTAGGGGCCACTTACATTTCCCATCTTTTGCATGCGCAAACCAAAAGAACGTTGGTGAAGGCAAACTGCACATGCGAGCGTAAAACCATTCCCGTGTGCCTCACATGCGCTGCTCTGCTTCCGGTGTCAATATGCATGCATGGTGATACAATACACACCACTTACGCACTGTGAAAACTGAGTAACTTTAATGCAGAGGTGTCGGCACGCAGCGAGTTTTGCAAGTTGATAAAAGTACTAGTATATATTATTACATTTTATAACATAGTTATAATATGATGATCATCTTATTTTGACTAAGCATGGCTATGAAGCAAAAAGGAGAGATGATGAGTCAGGGAGGTAAGACTTAATAGCATAAATTCTCGGTCATGAGTCAGGTCTAAGACAACAGGTAATTACATAAAGCAATTGTTTGTAGCCCATTCTGTAGAATTGTCTTTAATATTTATGCCAAAGTTTTCTTAAGATCCACTCTGGTTTTGTCTTTAAATTGTTTTCCAGTTACATTTAGGATTGATTTCTGTTATTTATTTATAATCATAATAATTATATTAATAACCAGATTTATATTTATTTATTCATCCATTTTCTTTTCGACTTAGTCCCTTCATTAATCTGCGATCGCCACAGCGGATGCCCTTCCAGCTGCAACCCATCACTGGGAATCATCACATTCACACACATACACTATGGGCAATTTAGAAACATTTTAGTTTGTTTGTATGCTGTCTGAATTATTTGTTTGAGACAATTACATGTGTTCACATAGTTTCCACTTAGTTTCTATATGGTTCAATTTTTTTCAGAAAAGGAGAGAGGGGGTGGTTTGCCCTGGGTTCCATTTAAACAAGAACCGCCACTGTCAATAGTTACAGGTTTTCAGCTTTCTTCAAAACATCTTCTTTTGTGTTCAACATAAAAAAGACAAACGAGTACTGTAAATGATGACAGAATTTTCATTGTTTGGATGAACTATCCCTTTAAGAAGAAAACATTATATAATAATACAATATGTACATACACAAGTTTTAAAAGCCATAACCAGGCTATTTTTTGGTAAACTAAATGCTGAGGTTAAAAACTACCTTGACTAAAATACTTTTAAAACTATATTCTTCGAAAAGTCTAAGAATCAGGATAAACAAAACTACTAAATCATGCGAAAATCATGTTATAGCCACCCAAAACATGCCGTCTGTCAGTTCAGCATAAGTTTAGATAATCCTCCAACCCATGTTGACTTTTGTATATAGAATATTTCTTACCTGGAAAGTCGTTTAAAACGCCAAACTTCGTCACAGTTACGATGACAATCTGAAACGCATTTCAGTACGTTTCCTAATAATTAACAAGCTGTTCAAAATGATTGTAAGTTAGACTTTCCTTCGAAAGCTGCCTCATCTCTGCCGTCGGAGGAACTGAGTCAGAAAGGGAAAGTTAAACGTCAGCTGACTCAAACTTCTGGACATCCAAAACTTCTCCATCTCCGTTATATTTTGGGAGGAAATGTCCTGGAATAAGCGAGTGTAGGGAAAGTAGGAAATAGCGCCATCTTGTGTAGAATCAGCATCAGGCCAGAGACTCAACAAGCCTTCATATTAAGATTCTTTCGCCAAACAATTTTTAAATTACGATGCATGTAAGTACTGTATGTACTACTAGTATTAACATTTATGCTACTAGTGCTTTATTGATACTAGAAAATCCCCCATTAAGTACTTGTGCAAGCTATCTTTACTACAGCTAAACATTACTGTTCAGTAATGTCAGTAATGTGCCTTTCTAAAGCATTTGTACATTTATAAAAGATGCTTCATTCATTTATTCATTTTATTCTCCGCTTATTCCCCTTATTAATCCGGGGTCGCCACAGCGGAATGAACCGCCAACTTATCCAGCACGTGTTTATGCTGCGGATGCTCTTCCAGCCACAGCCCATCTCTGGGAAACATCCATACACACTTATACACTACGGACAATTTAGCCTACCCAATTCACCTGTATCGCATGTCTTTGGACTGTGGGGGAAACCGGAGCACCCGGAGGAAACCCACGCGAATGCAGGGAGAACATGCAAACTCCACACAGAAGCACCAACTGACCCAGCCGAGGCTCGAACCAGTGACCTTCTTGCTGTAAGCTGACAGCACTAACTACTGCGTCACTGCTTTGCCTATAAAAGACGCTTAAATATTAGAATTTAACCAAGTCCAGTCCTGGCCAGAACTAACCTGTTTGTAAAACTTGGCTAATATTAGCTAGTATAGAGGGAGCGGGGATGAAAGTACCATTTTTCATTAAAAAATATTTTTAAAAGATGTTAAAAGATGTTTTAGACATATATATTTTTTTTGTTGTGGTTATTAAGTCATAAGTGTGGTCTATCAATATCGAATGTTATAGTATCTTAAAAAATAGAACAAATTCAAAATTATTTCTCTTTAAATATACAGTATTGCACATTGTTACATTTAACCCTGTCTGTAGGGGGAAAAGTAACACACGGGTGGGTTGAAAGTAGAACTACAATAGATTTACTGGCTTAATCCTGTTTATTTTAAGTATATTTGACCTTTATTTTCCTAAAAATATTGAATGGCATTTTCATATCGATTTTCAGCTCCATCAAATGTTTCACAACCAACTCAACAATGCAATTTGTTAAAATTTTTGAATTTTGATTAATTGTTATTGGCAATATGCATTAATTTAATAAAACATATCAATTAAAACACTGAGAACTCTAATGTGGAAATGAAAAATAAGGTTTGTCTATTAGCAGTGGGACATAAATAACAGTGTTACTTTTTTCCCAACAGGAACTCTTGCGATTTAAACCTGATTTACTTTTAAACTGAAAGCTCAGACATTTTAAACTTAAGGAAATGTTATTGCAGTAAATAACCTGCATACTGATCATTTACCGTGGCACATGAAAAGAGAAACACAACTTGTAATAAGAAAAAGAGAACCAATAATTTACTTTCTGCACTTAAAAAACCTGAAATTCAGATCTAACTGCAGGACACAGTCCCGAAATCAGCTGATATTTGGCAGCTCGATCAAGGTTTGCATGCCTAATGTGCTGTTATACACCTGTTTCTAAATGGTCTGTCTCTAAAAGTGAGGGGGACGTGTCCCTCTGTCCCCCCTGGTTGCTACACCCCTGTGTTATAGCATAGAAAGCAAATGTTGTCAGGGCTTTGAGAAAATCGCTTTATTACTTTTGTACCACGTTACTTTTGTCCCCGCTCTCCCCTAGAGCTAATTTGTTATATATTAGAAACTATTCCTTATTCATTAGATATCATTGTTTATTTCATTATGACTAATGACTGTTATATTGTGAGTAACAAACTCAAGTTAGGGATTATTAGAGGCCGTCAATGCAATATCAGCTATTCGATCCAATTTTGATGACTACTATCACATATTGTAATACACTAGTAGTAAATGATGTGGTATTACAGTTGCACTTTTTTTAAAGATACAAATACCTATTATTAGTTTCTGATACTTTAGATAACACTTTATTTTGATGGTCCATTCGAGTATTAGTAGACTGTCTGCTTAATATCTGTTGATATGCTCATTCAACAGACATTTAACTGACTATAAGAAACTTTGCAAGTACATGTCAAATTACACTAATCTTAACCCTAACCTAACAGTCTACTTATAATCTAATGAGAATTAGTTAGCATTCAACAAACAGACCATCAAAATAAAGTGTGACCATTCCTAATAATTAGATACTTATCAGTTACCTGTACCTATTAAATGCTATTTTTCCTTCATAACACACTAATATTTATTTATTAGATTTTACTTTTATTATCATAATTTATTAGATAATTTATTATTCATTATATGATTTTATTATCATAAATGATCATTTATTAAAACCTTTTTATTAACTACATTTGTACATGTTAAATAGATACTTGTACTTAACAACTGTCTTGACATTTAGCATCAGAACACTGTATTTTGATGGTCCATTTGAGTATTAGTAGACTGTCTGCTTAATATCTGTTGATATGCTCCTTCAACAGACATTTAACTGACTATAAGAAACTTAGCAAGTACATGTCCACTTACTCTAACCCCAACTAACAGTCTACTTATAATCTAATGAGAATCAGTTGGGATGTAGATGCAATGTAACTTAAAATCAACAAACAGACCATCAAAATAAAGTGTGACCCAATTGATAAGTACTAATATAAACAACATTTCTTTTTCGTTAAACACATCTAGAAATACATTTAGGAATGCAAACGTTGTCATTTTTTTATTTGAAACAAATCACAATAATCCAATTTTATTAAATATATATCAAATTTTAAGATGAAATAATTTGATTAAGTATTACATATTCTCATTCACATAATCACATGTGTACAGTATTTTGCAGCATTTGTTTTATTTCTCTTGAAACTGAAGGATTGAAGTGAAGAAACTGGCTTGGTAATGGAAAAAAAAGAGTTTGGTTTGTTCTGGGAAACCACCCGTGTGTGTTTTTCTCTCACAACTAAACATTGAAGACCACGGATGAACTTTAGGAGGTTGATTTCCTCGGGGTCATGGCGGACCTCAGGGGAAGCTCTCCCTCAACCCAGCTGTTCGGGCTGGCCAACATTCTTTTCCATATCTGAACTTCCTCATCCACCGAGTCCATCCAGTCCACTTTCTTGCCATAGCTCTGCCCTGCAAGTAAACAGAGACACAATGTTTGATGGAAAGGCTTCAAGAAAACCTGCTGGCAGGATTGTTGGATTCTCAATGAAGCACAAAATACAAGTGAAGAGAATGAAGACTGTGCACAATAGACGTAATTAGGGCAGGGCGATAAGGCAAAAATGAAACCTTAATCATTATTTTTCCATATTGAACAATTTTAATATAAATTGTTAATATTTCCAGATTTAAAAGTTATTATCCCAACAATGACTGATAAAACAAATATTATAGGGTTCAATAAATTACTATTTAAAATATCTTTTATTAACAAAAACAGACTACACATTTGGCCTTAAATTAAAAAAATTAGTAAAATACATATAAAAAGACTAATCTGTTTAAAAATTAAATGTGCAAAACATAAAAAAAAAAAAACGTCCAGCAAGTCCACACAAAAATTCAGGATTTTTTTTGGGTGATACTTTTTTAGGGGATGGAATAGGTTGGTTGTGTTGCCAGACTTGGTTTTCACAAACCATTGACATACAGATCGTTTTATTCTGCTCCTTGTCACACTTCAGGTTGCCAAACCACTTCCATATAACAGAATTCGTGCTGCCTTTTTTGTCGATAATTTCATCTTCTTTGGATAATAACTCAAGGTTAGTTTCACTTTCTTCACTGCTTCCACTCATTCTTTCTTTATTTTTGTCGTATTGTCGAGTTTGTTAGCAAAGTGCGGTAGGAAATGGTCTTTTGTTGTGCATGGTGATTGGTTGTTGTCGAACTTGTGGCATATTGCTGTTGTGTGATTGGCTCTTAGATCAATATCGAGTAAAAATGTCCAGAGCTTATCATCATTATCTAAATAAATTTTAGCACAATTCGATATGATATCGTTTATTGGCCCAGCCCTATATGTTAATATTGTCATTTTTATTTGTTTTTTATTGTATTTTTATAGGGTGTGAGTTAACAGTAGAGTAGGTCGCTCCTTACACATCCTGAAAGTCCATAAGCATTCACTGCATGATAAAGCCTGTTAGAATGAACCTTTAGTTCAAGTTATGAAAGCAGAAATACTTCTTTGTGGGTTTTTGATTCTTTTAAGTAGAGTTGCTGATCATTATTTTTCATAGCCAATTTAGAATTTATTAATAGATAATTGCCGTTTGTTGTTTGTTCAGACTACTTAATTAAAATGAGCTGAAACAACAAATTCGGAAGTTTGTTTTGGGACAACTTAAATGTTTTTTGTTTAATATACTTAACTTGGTAACAAATAATAAATTAACTTAATTCCTTCATACTGTCCACACACAAATCAACATTTTTTTTTTACAGTGTAGAGAAAAATAAGTATGAGAAAACGTTTATTTGATTTATTACAAGATGAGTGTGCAGTGATTTCAAATTAGAGGCAACAACTGCACTTAAATCTTGATCTACACAAACGACATACTTTATCTTGCGGAGTTGGAGATTTAAAATTGATTGTTTAAATTTATAATATGAAGTAAAAAGTTAGTGAAATTATGCTACATAAAATACACTGGCACAAAACTAAAACAGCAGACATGCTGGTTAATAATGCAAATTCATTCTCTTCCAGCAGGTGGAGCATATAAGTCATCTTACAGTCTAATTTCTTTATAAGACAATTTTAAGCAATATCATAAAAGCAAAAGTGCTGTTTACCAGAATATCAGTGCAAATCGTAAATGCGCTATTGACTTCATACAAGGGTCCAACAAAAAGAGTTATTTACATTTTGGACACAGTGTTTTCTGCTTTTTACTAACGTAAAAACAGCACATTTGTACATCTTATAGAAACACTGCCACTTTTTGCTTACTAAATTAATCTGTCTATAAACAAATCAAGTTAGTCAGTGATATATTCATAAAAAATCACTTGATTCAGTTCTAAATGAATCAGTTGTTTTGAGTGAATCGTTACGCTGAATCAAGACAAGGCTTGCTGCCACTTACTTGTGGTTTTAGTGTCATATTTGTTGATGCATTACAGGACTGATTCTAGGTTTAATTATTGTTATCACAAACAATTTTTTTCATCAGAAGAAAAGGTTTTGTTACCTGTTCCGAGACTGAGGCGCACACCTCCCAGAAACTGATTGGCGAGTGTGTTGTGATCCCAAACAGTCAATTCACAGCAGGCTTCAGTGACTTCTCCAGTTTTGAAGCCGTCGTACACCATGGCATGGTTATACACTGGGTCCTGGGTCTTTTTCACAACACGAGTCTTCTGGCGACTTTTCTTTCTGGTGTCTGGTAAAATGTAGCTAAGGACCAAAAAATAATCAATTAGTATACTATATGGATTTCTGATCAAGATATGTCAGATGTAGTGAATCATCTATTTTTTATTGAGCAGGTGTAATATTCATTAATATTAATTATTTGAATTCTTATTTTCACCAAGGTGCCGCTGTTTGAGGTCGAATGACCTGCAGGCTGCATTTTGTTCGAGAAAATAAAAAGAGCGGGGCTGCGGCAAAACAATGAATAAAAAGAGTGAGGCTATGGTCAAATAAATAAAGAAATAAATAAAGCGCGACTGCTGAAAGTGCAAGCAGCTAGGGACACCAGCCCTCGCGGCCAAAAATGGACCGGCCCACCGGGAATTCTCCCGGCCCTCTCGATTAGCCAATCCAGGCCTGCATCTAACCCATCTAAACATGCATGACAACCAATACAATGGAAAAGCGGTTGTTCCTTGTGCCACCTGGTGACTATTGCGTAAAGCACATTAAAAAAAACCCGGAGGAAACCCACGCGAACGCAGGGAGAACATGCAAACTCCTCACAGATACGCCAACTGACCCAGCCAAGGCTCGAATCAGCGACCTTCTTGCTGTGAGACGACAGCAAATACGATACTTTATTTATTCTGATATGGAAATTTTTGCTGATAGTGATAAATACCAATCTTAATTTTCTGAGCCTAAATCCAAAGACAAATGGCAAACAATTACAGTGATTCTATTTTTTACCTTAACTCCAGAAAACAAGGAAACTACAGACTAGAGCTTTCTTTTCCCAAAATCGAATTTAAAGTCCTCTTCAGAGTTATTCAAAGTACAACCCCAAATCAGAAAAAAGTTAGAACAGTATGGAAAACACAAATAAAAAAAGAAAGAATTTTTATAGTTTTCTTTTTTCTTAATAAACACATTTCTGTGTTTTCCAGCAGCAGAAGGCAAAAAACAAACAAACAATACAAATCATGAGGAACACATTAAATATTGTTTGTTGTATTGTCTGCAATGAAATACAAGTCAAAGTAAATTTGGAAATCACCCCTTTCTTTTTTTATGCGTTTTCCATACTGTCTTACCCTTTTCTGGTTTGGGGTTGTAAAATCTTACAGTGTTAACATCTTCTTTTTCTTCTAGAATAAACTCACACACATTTAAAGTGTTTTTTTGGTGGAAGTTATCCATAATGTTTCGACAGAAAATTTACTGATATGGTCCATCAATATATGATGCATCACTAAAAAAAAGTTCATTACTTCCAAAGAATGTACCTCCAGAACAAGTTTTAATTCAAATGAACGGAAGCGTTAAAGCATGAAGAATGAGAATCTTGAAAATCAATTTACATTTATATACTTTTTTCATTTGATTCTGAGCTGAAAAATGACTGGACATGTTCAAATCTAAACAAACAATTTAAATAAATAGTGTTCTACAAGAGCTATTAAATCACACTGCATCAGGAAAATAGTGCATTAAAACATTTGCAGCCATGTAGCAAGGAGGGGTTCGGATGGATCAGAAGACCCAGAAATAACCCATCAAAAAAGTCATTAAGACCAGACAGAATCCTCTGTTGGCTGTCGCTTTGGTGTCACCTCAATAATCAGTTTTGGCCAATGCAAACTAGTATTTAATAGTCCCAACATCCAGCTGTGCAAGAAAACATACAATCTGACGTAAGTGAAGTCATCTTTCGCAACTGTATTTTTTTTTTAAAGGAGGAAAGACTTTACAAGTAACTTTTATTCTAAATCTTGGACCTCACTCTTGAAACAAAAAATGACCAATGAAAAGATGTGAAGCACCAAAAGCGGCCCATATTAAAACTAATTTGAATACTAATTTGGCTATTGTTGTTATCCATGAATTTTCAAATCTACAAGAGAGACTAGAAAAATCACAAAGATCTACATAATAATAATAATAATTACACATATAATAATAAAATATAATAAATAAATAAATACATATAATGAATATAATATAGTTTTGAATGTAATAATTAAATTTTCTTATTCAAAGGGCCAAATTCTGACTGAGGAAAGTTGAATGTGCTGGCCAGTGTGTAATTTGCCTAATAAATGACAATAGGCTAAAAGTTTTTATTTGAAACTTGAACAGATTCCTTCTTTTTTATGATATACAGTATGATGTAATATATTTGTATTTGAAAAATAAGTACTTAATTCATATTTCTTTATTATACATCTTTAGGAAATATCATTGGTACATTAAAAAGTGTTATGATGACCATCCGATCTGACACTGAAATAGTGCTTAAAATGTCACTAAAATGCAGTTTTTAAATTTTACAAAGAACCACTACTTTCACCAGGCTGGCTACGGGCTTAATTTGGTCTAAATGTTTGTAAAACTATTACGTTTAGACAATAATTCTGTATTTGCATTCGTCCTCCAAACCAAACAAAATAGTCATCAGAGTTATTTCCCTTTCTTTTCACATCAATTTGATAGACGACAAAGAGAAACGAAACACAAACATGACACTTCAAACATGACACAGAGGAAGCGTGAGAGAGAGTTGGAGACGGAACAATGGCTTTAGCCTGCTTTAAAGTCAGGTCCGTAACAGAAGACAACAAACACACCCTCACCATTTAACAAAGGAATCGACTCCCTGAGGCTTCAAGCGACGCAATTCTTTTGCCTCACGCAGCCAAACATGAATCTCCCCGGTGCTGCTCTTCGACCCACCTGAAATCAAGTAGTGCATTTAAAGCAAATACAGCTTGTTTTTCATGAGCAGTATTTCTAGATATACAGACACATGGAATTCACATAACAGACTGCATTAAAACTGTACCAGTGGATGCTGATGGAACATATTTTAGTGAAACTGACAGCAATCCATTAGACTCTTTCGTTTCTGCATTTTCCGATGTCTGTGATGAAAAGAAAATGTAATATTGTGTTAGACTAGAGAAATGGGATGAACTGTGTGATCACTTTTATATAGTAGAATGTACAGCATGGACTCTGTTCCTAAACAAAGTCATTTAAAGAGGACCTGTTACAAAATGTAAAATAGGTTTCTGATGTATCTAGAGTGTGTATGTGAAGTTTTAGCTCAAAGTACATCACAAATAATTATATATGACGCTTTGAAACAACCACTATTTAGGCTATAATTAACACTATAATGCTATTGTGAAAAGAGGGTGGAGCTACAAATGCCTATGCAACAGCATAGCAGCAGATTCAAAACTGGAGTGATCTTATCTTCATGAAAAACTGAAAATGTCTCAGAAAAAGGCAGTCCATGGCTCAAAATTCTTTTGGCTCAGTCTATGGCTTATAAAAAGGCAGTCTATGTAGACTACAGTGTTCATTTGTGCATCCTAAAACATCTATAATGCCCCTTATCAAGTTTGATTTTTATTTTAATTTCATTATTATTTCTGATTATTATCTATAATATGATTATTATTTTATTATTAATTTAAATATAAATAAAATTAATTATTTATTTTTTAACACACTGTTGCCACACAACTATGTTTAAATCATAAAACCTAATGTGCATAATAGGTCCATTTTAAATAAGAGATAAAGTACATCCAGCCAGTTGTTACAAGTGGTGCTCGCTGCAGAGCCATTTCAGGAGAGGTGAGCTCCAGAGAGGGGGAGCTTAAGCTTGAGCTCCACCTTTTTTGCACTTCTTCTACGAGTGATGTCACTGGGGGTAGGGTTAGGGGTGGGGTTGGTGTACGCATTAAAACAGCTTACAGGAGGAGGAGCGACAGCTCATGCTCCCCCTCTCTGGAGCTCACCTCTCCTCAAATGGCTCTGCAGCGAGCACCCTCTCAGTTGTTATTGCAGAATACAGCCTGACAGGCACATCATTTGTTTTAGACTGAGGAGCTTTACTCTCTGATAACAACTGGCTGGATGTACATTATCCCATTTATTACATGGCTATTTGAGACAAAACTAAGAAGTTAGACACAAAACATCTCTATATGGGTGATTCTAGAATTACAATTTGCGACTCCTGGAAAAAAATCCTGTTCATAATCAAACACAAAAACTTCATTGAACTTTATTAAGTTTTGAATGATAACGCAAGTTTTTATTATTTAAGTTGTCTAAAAAATAATGTCTGTATGTGTATTTAGGGATATTTTGTATATATGTCTTGTATATAAAGACTCCCAGTATGCATATTTTGACTCTGCCATCTGGATCATACATTCAGCTTTAATTATCAGGCAATAATTCAATATAATTTTCATTCTTAAATTATTTTTGTGTGTATAATACAATTAAAATATATACAGTTCTGTTTTAGTCATAGGTATCTGGTTTGAGGCGTGCAATTTTTGTCGGCTCTTTAAAAAAAGTCAACTTATTTGCAGTTTCACTTTCTTTAAGGAATGGTTTATTTATACCCCTGAGACAAATTGAGGTATTGGATGCGAGTATGGAGTAAGGACGGGTGTTTTAATGGAAAGAAACCTCCGCATTTCATGATGCAGGTATCTTTGGTCCTTTACTGACTCGGTAGGTGCAGAGAATAGTGTCAAGCAGACGTGTGTGTATGGAATATCCTGCCACAAAACACGGTGCAAAATCCTACACAACGGTAATAGTTTGATTGCGGTGTTTACATGTCTGTAATGCACTTGAATAATGTGACTAAAATAGGAATGGTCTTAATTTGATTTCTGTTTAGTTATTAAGGTAATAAAAAAAACACTGTTTACATGGTCGACTCTTAATCAGAGTATTGTCTTAATCGTATTAAAATAGGATTATCGGTGTCCAAGTAAATGTACTCAATGAGTAAAACAACAATTAGTAACAAATCAAAATGTCCCCTATCACATTTAAGCATTTTGCTGGATTTTTTATATCAATAATATATTCAGGTTACTGTAAATTTCGTTATTTAGGTTTTGTAAAACATAAGCAGTGTACCTTTGGCTGTAGGTTGTACCAGGTAAGGGCTTCATGACCCCAGTCCCAGGTCCTAAAACTGAGCTCAACCTGACCCAGAAACACATTTCGGCCCCTGGAATCATTGTGCCACACAGAGAGGTTCAGAGACTTTTCCGGCAGCTCTTCACGGTTCACTTTGTACTGATTTAAAGAAACATTTACAGATAAGTTTAAAAGTTATGCATGATATATATTAATCTTTCTATTATTCCCACGGAGAAACGCACCCTCAGAGATTCCACAAAAACAGGATTCACAGTCCGCTTTTTAATGGTGGTTTTCCTTTTGCTGCGGCGAGACTTGTCTGGGTAGAGATATGTCTTGACATAACTGTGAAGGAAAGTTTGATATTCTTATTTTAATAAAGGTAGACTGACAAAAACCATATTAATGTTTAAACTTGTGGAAAAAAAGTCAGATATGGGTGAATTAATGTTTCAAATTGCAAAACTTTAATTACGTTTATATGAACTTTAAATACACAGTATATATTTGTTTTCATGGCAAGATTAAACAAGTGTTGGCTGTGTAATATTTATAAAAAAACCACTTAATATGTGTTTATTGTTTTGTTCAATAAACCATCTAAAATATACAGTTTTTTTCAGAGGTCGTGAAGTGAAATGAGATCAAAAAGTTATTCTGAAATCATGTTAAACAAATGCTTTTCATTTGACATTCATCCTTCACACCATGCAGAAAAACACTTTTCAATTTATTTATAAGCAGAATAAACGTGAATAACTTTACTGTTAAAGCTCTTCTGTAGCTTTATTGTTACACCAGCGTCATTCATTAATTCATTCATTAATAAAATCAAAATTTTGATTCATTGAAAATTTTAACTCAATTACGATTAATTAATGATTACTTTATTTATTGGCCTCCATAGTTCACTGATAGGTTTTGTTCTGTAAATATGCTCACATATTACATGTGAGAGACTTCTAAATAAAGGGTGCTTTACTTGATTTTAAAATAATTGAAGGAAACAAACTATCTATGATTATTTATTGAACATCATTGCTGAACAACTGAAAACAAAACACACACTGCCTAAAACCAACAGTCACTTTTTTTCCTATAAATCGTGCACTTTTGGAAACCAAATTAATTATTCATTCATTTTCTTTTATTTCGCTTTTATTTTTATTTATTCATTTGCTTAGTCCCTTTATTAATCCAGGGTCGCCACAGCGAAATGAACCGCCAACATTTTTTATATATTAAAAGTAGAAAATAAGCAGTATCTCTTATAAAATAAAATAACTTGCATATCCTGTAAATAATATTTTAAACTAAGAATTTCTTTCATCTTCTGTAAACAAATATTTTCATGTAAATAATAAATGTAAATAATAATTTTAATGTAATGTAATCTCTGGGGCAGCTTTCAATCATCTTTAATGTAATGCAAACGTGCGACATGTTGTTACATTTTATGAGATGTGCGCGGTTATGTGACTGTGCAAAAGCTGCGCCGGACCACACCCGTGCATTTAACGCAGAAGTTTTAATCCGTGTTAACAGAGAGGAGTTATGTGCAACCCTATCTCACAGCGAAATCGTATAAATTCGTACGTAGTAAACAAGTGGCTAAATTTAGTTACTACAAGTGGCTTACGATTTAGCCACTTGGTTACTACGTACAAATTCGTACGATTTCGCTGTGAGATAGGGTTGGTTACGTGACTCCACATGCAGTAGGGAGAGTAATTGAACAAATTTACCTGAAAAATTTGATCGATTATAGGTTCTGAATGTCCATTTCGATTACTTTTCGGTTAATCGCCCAGCCCTAGTTTGACAGCATCTCACTATTAACCCTTTTATTTATCAGAGTTGTGTCAGTATATTATTCAATAAAAGATGTGGGCCAAAAAATTTTTTCAAGAAGTGCACCATACATACCATGTAAAACTGAATAAATAAAATGCTAAAATGTGTATTTCATACAGTGAGGAATAACCAAACATTTACTTAATACTTAATAACAAATGTTACACTGAATTACATTTTAGATGAAAAAAGCATGATAAAAACCATACTAGTCATTGTGTTTGCACAGGAAAAAAAATCTTATGATAAAGTATAATAATGTATAGGAGAAAAAAACTAAAACTAATTTAAAGCCGTATTACGCTAGACAGTTTCTAACTTACGGGTCAGTACGTTGCTTACGAGGATTAGCAATAGCGAGATCCTGACACTGTTCAATCATGATGATGAGCTCTCCAACAGGGCTGTACATCACTGCGAACTCTACAGAGCCCTGCACCTCCACAGTCCCAAAATCCCCAGCGTCACTGTACACACTCAGCAAACTCCCAGTGCGCTGACGGGGGACAAAAAGAGCAGGCGTGAAACTCTGGAAGACCATCTCTTTTTTTTTTTCTTTTTTTGACATTTAATGTTTTAGAAAGAAAAATGAATGATGACAGGAAAGGGTGGAAGAGAGCCGGGAATAGGGGACTGGGAAATGATGCAGTCTATACTTGAACCTGCGACCTACTTAAACATAAACACATGCACCACACAGCAAAACATGACAATATTCAATGACATTATGCAATTTAGATGTTTCATATATCACTAGATATTTTTATGTCTAATATGTAGAAACATCTGCAGCTTTCCCCTTTTATTGTGGGCCTCGATTATAAAATGTTGCATAAAATTTTATAATAACATAATTTCCAAAAAGTTTGTAAGTGTGATGCACAGAAAACAAATGTGTGCACAAAACCCATGAGTACGCCTCTCTTAAAGATATTCACAAAGACATTTATAAATAACAAAATTGAAATTGTGTACAACTGACAGTTGTAAATGCCCCTTAATTATTATCATTACCATATAAAAGAGCTCACGCCAATATCCAAATTTTTAGGCTTCAGAATGACGAAAATTGAGACCCTGCTAGTGGACGTAGACGCTCATGCTTACACTTTTTGAGAGTTTTAATCAACTAAAAAGTTTTAATTATAAAAAGTGAGCCATCCTACCCTTAAAATCACTTGATATGACGACTTATAAAAAGTTTATTCGCACAAAATTCCTGCAAAACATTAAAAAAAACACTATAGAAAGAAAAAAATAGACATTTCATATAGTTACAAGTCATTAACTGGGGTACCCACCAGACGCACTAGAGGGCACTCCAGCTATATGAACACTCCATCAGCCATTTACCCGGACTACACTTACCATCCTGCTTTGCATCTCACAGCTGTAACAGTTTACCAATTTGGACGCTGATTAAACTGACAGCTGCAGCACATTACTTACACTATTTAAGCACCGCACTCAAACATCTACATGGTTGGATTTTGTTTTGTGTCGTGCACTTCACTTGTGTTTCGTGTTGTCTTGTTTTGATTTTTGGACTGTTTTCTGATTATTTGCCGCCTGACCCTAAAATATATTATATAAGTTTAAGGCTCTATTAATTTTCAGAGAAGCTGCAGATGTTTTTTTTTTATTTTAGCTTATTTAGATTTTATTTATTTATTGTGGATTTTATACATTAGTAAATCAAGACGTTGCAAATCTTCTAGGAATAAACCTGTGTAGACTACAATATGTGATTAAACGTTCTCAACATAAGGCTATTAAATTAGTTTAATTAGTTTAATCTTGCAAAAACTCACGTTAAAAAAACAAATCTGACTACACTGTGAAATAAATCTCTCACACTGCATCTTTGTTGTTAAGGATAAATTTGGTGGAAGATTGGTTGAATATCTGCTCAGTACAGGCTACTTCTTCCAGCTCCAGGTATGTGGCGAGAATTTTTCTGGAGGAGTCTTACCAGCTACTTTATAACCCCCAACTTAACATTCATGCTAGAACGGCAGAAGGATAGGGGACAGTGCTGGAGGAAATGTAAGGAAGACTCATAGATATATACACCATAGATATCACATAGGAACCCTGAGCATGCGTCAATTGCGCCGCCCTCTTTCTGCATTCATCATAAGGCAAAGGAGCACCAACTCGCACTAAAGTCTAGGCTTATGCTAGTTTTGTTGAATAAAATAATGTTATGAAATATGGCAAGATGCTGCAGTGCCAGAAACTTATATAATTGTCGGTTAAATTAACCAGTCATTCGTAAAGGGGATTTATTCACTAATGAAATGCTACCTCTGTAAGAATGAGAATCAAATCAAATTAAACAAGAAGGGACGATAATACATTTCCATGCACACAAACACACTCTTCGTCGGCAATGCCCGTGCAATCACATCCATCAATGTAGAAAAATTATTTTTCATAATTGAAAAAAATATTTGCATTCTGACCATCGGGAAAACTCCCGATCACAGATATATGTGTATATCTCTGGCTTTGGATGGCCACAGTCCTTCACTGCACCTGGTTCCGCATTCATTTCAAATGAGTAGTACCCTGTACTAAAATGGTGGCTCTATTGGCGCATTCCTTCTAATAGACCACAGCATGGTAGGCAACATCTAATGTATACAGTATATCTATGGGGAAGACTTGGAATTAGACTAACTTAGACTTATATACAGTAAATATTAAACTTAGACCAGGGGTGTCCAAAGTCGGTCCTGGAGGGCCGGTGTCCTGCTGATCTTAGCTCCAACTTGCTTCAACACACCTGCCTGAAAGTTTCTAGTATATCTACAGTAGTAAGAGCTTGATTAGCTTGTTCAGGTGTGTTTGATTAGGGTTGAAGCTAAACTCTCCAGGATACCGGCCAGGGCCGGAGTGGGACTCCTTTTCAGCCCTGGAGTTTCAAGCCTTAAACCGGCCCACGTCAGTTCAGAACTGACTATATTAAAATAAGGTAATTTCCAATTCAGTTTCTAATCACACTATCACGTCTTTTTCAAGAAAACAGCTGCTTTAGAACTTCAAATGTTCAACAACCCTTACAGTTTTATATGTCTTAACAATAAAAATGAAAAAAAAAAAAAAGAATTACACAGGTGATGTTAGAACACGGATCGACAGCCTCGTAACGCAACATGCTGACCACTGGACCAGAATGGCGCTGTTATGCTGGCGAGGCCGGCATGGTAGTTACATCATCATTACCATGGGGCTACAAGAAACTAAATAAGAAGTGGGGAGCTGCGGCCAAATAATGGATAAAAAGATAGAAACACCAGCCCTCGCGGCTAAAAAACGGACTGGCCCACCGGGAATTCTCCTAGTCCTCCCGATTAGCCAATCTGGACCTGATACCGGCCCTCCAGGACCGAATGTGGACACCCCTGACTTAGACTAACAATTTTCACATATTTTGGAGTTGCCCAGCCATTCAGTCATACTGGCAGGATGCAATGCAAGTAATACAAAATATTTTTGGTGATGGAATGGACTTTTCTTTTACAAGAATTTACCTGCGAAATATTTCAGCCAACTTGATGGTAAAAAAACAAGTATTTATTAAAAATACTTCTAGCAACCAGTAAGAAAACTAACTCATAAGTGACTACAACCCAAACCCCCTACAAAATCTGACTCTCCATGTCTTTTTCTTTAAAACTACAAATGAACAAATACCTGCAATATCGGGAGAAATGGATTGCACTCTAGCCTTTACACAGTGTAAACCGATCTTTATATCTATTTGTGACTTGTAAGGAAATACATGTGACCAGTCAACTGTTCATTTAACTTCCAGAGTGTTATTGTATTTTTATTTTTATTTACCTTAAAAAATAGAGATACAAATAAAGTATATATATTTTTAAAAAATGATGAATTTAGTGCCTTACATATATATTGTTAGATAAAAATTTAAATTTGATTAATATAGCTGCAGTACTACAACATTACCTTAAAAATGTGTGTAGATATGCTTAGCAAGTCGATAAGTACTTTTACACGTTAAATATTGTTTTTTTTAATATATATATATATATATATATATATATATATATATATATATATATATATATATATATATATATATATATATATGAACATGGCTGTGTATTTAAGCATACACACACTCAAATCTGAGCGTGTACACACTTTATAAAATGAGGCCATGTTTCTCTATGGCACTTACCATAAAAGTCAACTTTGCTTAAACATTTTTCATGAGTTTAGGCCAAACTACTTACAATAAACTGTTTACCGGGTAACTGACAAATTTGGCCAAGCAATGGCAAACTGCCCTTTAAACACTGTTAAATATAGAAAACAGAAATGCTAAAGGTCCAGCTTACATCAGTAAGAGACAGAGCGCTAGCTGAAAAGCCTTTTCTGCTAGACAGATCTGACCCATAACTGGACAGTGAGGTATCATCATCATCTGAATTGACTCCTTCATCCTGCAACATAAACAAAAGAGCCAAAGCCAAACATAACGTTTGAACACAACCATCAACTTTGTCTGATCATCATCTCACACTGCAGCAGCTTGTAAAAAAAAATGATGAAATGATATTTCAAGTGCTGCAACAGCATGAATTACATTTGTAAAACAAACAGCAGCTCACCTCCCAAGCATCTGCAATGTATGAAGGATTTTTCGCAGTGGAACTCTGAAGTAAAGCCTCCAGAACTAATGCCCCACGTTTGTTTCCTAAAGAAATCAAAAGAATTGAGCTCAACTTGAATTTAGATTCATTAGAGTGAAATCGAACAGGTTGAACCTGAGCTTAAGTGAACATTCACACAATACAGGGTGTGTAGTTCTCAAATATCAGCCCTTAAGGACATTTCAGAAATCAGACATGCCATTTTACACAAACATATTAATATGCCGAGTAAAGGCACACTCACACCAAGAGCGAGAACTATAACAGGCCTAGGGTTGGTTAGTTCACTTCAAAACGAATGATCTGTCATCATGTACTCTATACCAGGGGTGTCTAAACTCGGTAAGGGTTCCAGAGTAAGTTTCGGGTTGACAAAGCCTACTTGTTTAAAATAAGGTTAAATGGTTTCACTGGATATATCGTTTGATATAAACTTTCTGTTAACTCAGAGTTTAACCCAGAGATTGTGATTAACTCTGGACCGCACCTGAAATTGTGACCGTAATTGAAATTTTTAGAAACAAAAAATAGAACAAAACATTCTCTCAAGCAAGTTGGACAAGCGCAAGTTACAATGGTGACAAAACCAACCCACCTTCTTGAGCCCAAGAATTCAGAGTTTGCTCAAACTAAACCTGAACTTACCGAAAGCGACAACAGGCCTATGAAGAGACACATACTTGACACAACACAACACAACAAAATAAACCTCACTGTTTCTTGCTAAAACCTAAAAGGTACTGTATAGTAGGTAAATTATAAATTAACTAATTAAAAATGATGGTGATTTGCATATGTTTATTAATCCTTCGAACCGCTGCATTCAAATCTGAAAATGCAAAAATCTGAAAAGAGATTCAGTCTTTAGTCTTTTGAGTTAGTTATGAAGTTAAAACAGTCAAATAACACAGAAGTACTGGGATAACAGTTAACATAAAACCACTAATATTTATAGTGAAGATTAAAATCACCATCATATGCATTTACCGACGCTTAAAAATGAAAGTTGTGGCAGCAATTACATTTTTTATATTAATAGGTGGCAACAACCAGCCATCAAAAATATGCCAATAAATAATTCTTCAAAAATGATCCATTTAGCAATGAAACAAAGTGAATAACTGAATAATTTATTGAAAATGAGACTACAAATAATTATAGGCTGTAATTATAATGTTAGATTTCTACATTTAGCGTTATCAGCAACAGTAGTAGTAAGTTATTTTTATTCAGCTGATTATTTCTTCATTTTGTTTTTAATAAAGTTACAGGTTCTAAGTTCTGTTTGTTTAAACAAGAAGTTTCTTGCAATACTGTTTTTGTAATAAATGGAAAGGAAATTACATATGTCTCCTCCGCTTCTTAGCTGATCCGAAAAATGGTCCGATCCATAACTAAAAAACCATTATGTGGTCTAAACCTTTATGAGCCTGGAACAGGACAAATCAGCGATGACAGAATTTAAATTTTTGGTATGTGAGCTACTCCTTTAAATAAATCAGTTCATCATATGAAACACTTAAACCTCTTCATATTAATCCGATCAATGGAATTATATTTGTAAAATGTTTTGAAGTGTGAACAGACTATCAATGGAGGGACAGAAATCAAAAAAATATCTTAATTTGTGTCCCAAAGATGAACAACTTTAGAATAGAACAACATGAGTTAATGATGACAGAATATTAATTCTGGAGTGAACTAAACCTTTAACCACTTAACGGTCATCTTTTTCAGTGCACAATTATTCATTCATTCATCCATTTTCCTTCAGCTTAGTCCTTTATTTATCATGGGTCGCCAAAGCAGAATGAACCGCCAACTATTACAGCATATGTTTTACAGTACGGATGCCCTTCCAGCCACAATCCATTACTAGGAAAAACCCATACACTCTCACATTCACACACACACATACACTACGGCCATTTTAGTTCATCCAATTCACCTATAGCGCATGCTTTAGACTGTGGGGGAAACCGAAGCACCTGGAGGAAACCCACGCGAACATGGGGAGAGAACAGGCAAACTCCACACAAATGCCAACTGGCCCAGCTGGAATTCGAACCAGCAATGTTCTTGCTGTATGGCGACAGTGCTAACCACTGAGCCACCATGCCGCACAGTTCACAATTACTAACAAATATTTATATATGTATATTTAATTTCCAGGAGTGAACTCAAACAATGGGGTGACAGATAAATGGTTAAGTCTGTAGTATAGATCGCATAACCACTTACCTTTCATTTCTGCTGGATCTGGAGATTCAGATGGCACAATGACTATACTGGGAACCGTATCATCTGTACCCTCCAGGTTTGGCTCCTGATTGGTGATGTTCTGCAGGACAGGTGGTCTTGTTTTTTGAGCTCTTGCAAGAACATTTAGTAGAACATCTGACTTTGTTTCAGCACTGTCCACATCAACTTTAATTTCTGAAGAATCTTGACCAAATCCAGCAACATCGTCACTGGGATGAGCTGGTTTAATTGGTTCAGGGACAGATTTGTCCATGTGTTTATCTTCTCTGATGTGCACTAACTTCCCATCATCTGTCATTGAAAAAATGTCTTGGCTTATTTCTGATAATGTCTGATTATTATATGACCTTAATTTTACTTTATCTTCACAGGAATCAAGATCACTTTGTACAGTTTTGTCACATAATTTCACACCAGTTGTCTGATAAAGCAGCTCATTTTCATTCTTCTTTTCAATCTGGACCTGGACGTCATCACCAAAATCACTGGAAGCATCTTTTACCTGTGGAAATTCATGAGAATCCATTTCAATCCCCCATTTTAATGACGGACTCTGGGACTCTTCTTCAGCAGAGAAATGCTTATTGATTTCTTCCTCACCAGTCAAATGCTCTACTGCTTGATCCATATCTGTCTCAACAAGAAAACCAATGCTTACATTTTTCCCTTCACCTCCCTTCCTGTCTGAACTTGCCTCATCATTAACAATATCTCTGGAGGCCAAACTTCCCTTATCACGCACATTAGCAGAGTCTAAAGGACCTGCTTTATCGCTCTCAGACTCTCTGAAAGTCAATTCAGCTAAACACTGCTGATCTGTGCTTGTGCTATTTTGGAAAGCATTAGAAAATTTGTTAACTTCCTTTGAATCGCCGTGAGCGGAGTGTGTAGTCAATTCTGGCCCATGACTAGTGAAGGCTAAGGAAGTCTGTGGTTGAAAGTGAAACTCTTTCATTGGTGAACCACTTTTTAGTAAAACATTTTTAGACTCAGTGTGAGATGTTTCTGGACTTGATGTGTCCTGAATGTTTTTAATGTGTGGTTTTACCTCTTTTAGTTTAATTCCAGAGCTATTGTTTTCATCATGTACAGGCTTTACAGTGTTTGGTTCCAGGGAGATCTTCACCCAGTTCTCTTCAAATGATTGGTCTCTCTGTAGTGCTGGAGGGAGGGAAACTTTTCGTCGTGGCTCTGGATTTTTTGTGGTGCTTCTTTCTGGTTTAGTGTCTTGAACTGGACTTGAGAAGGGGAAAACAGTTGTTGTTTGGCCACCAGAGAGCTCTTTAGGTTGTGTTTTTGTAGACTTGTGTCCTGGGTCTGTGCCATTGAGGAAAGGGTTGGCATCAGTTTCTGCTCGTAGTTTTTCTTTTTTGTTAGACACACTTGGAGCAGAGGGAGTCTCTGTAAATACAGATTATTTATACTGAGAAGTATGACAAAAAGTTCAAAATTCTAAAGAAATTAGTACTTTTGTTCAGCGAGGATCCATTAAACTGTTCAAAAGTGACAGTAGAAAATATTAAATGGTTTCAAAATACTTATTTCGAAAAAATTATGCTGTATTAAACAATTTACGCATCAAATACTTTTTTAAGTGAAGTTTATTTATAAACTAATTTCGAGAGGATCACGTGCTTATGATTGACACGGCTGGCCCCGAGTCAAGTTAATGAACGAACCATTTTCTACAGGGCAGCACGGCGGCCCAGTGGCTAGCAATCTTTTGGATCTTTTCAGGATCTTTTGAGCTCGGGGCTCTCTCCCGGGACAGCATGCCAAACTAGCTTATTATCAATCATCAGCTAACTGAACTCTTGAAAGAGCATCACAGTTCCCACATAAAATATTTGTCTATCTGTTTCTGTAATGTGATGGGATGCTGACAATGGAGATGGGGATCCAAATGCAGGTTTATTAACAAGAATGGTCAGAAAAGCAATGGTCAACAAGGTCAAACAGGTGCATGCAGGCAAATCCAGAAGAGTGGTCAAATAACAGGCGAGTGGTCGATTCATGTTGCAGACAACGTAAAACAAACAAAACAAAGCAAAGGTCATACACGGAAAGGCAAGGCAAAGGGAACTAGTCGTAATGTCTCAAACAGTTAAACAATTCTCGGCATAGGGGTGTGGGTGTGTGTGTGTGCACTGTAATTAAAGTCTATGTAATTAGTCCATACCAATCCTATGGCTGTGTTTTTGTGTGTTTAATCAATGGACTCTGAAACAGGTGCGTGTGAGCGGTGCATGACTGTATATGTAATTCTTTAGTGTGGTGTGCATGTAGTTCTCCGGCGATTCGCATGTATACCAGTGATCTGCAAGGATTAGATCGCTGGTGATAGTGACAGTTTTCAACATTGATAATTATTTGAAATGTTTCTGTTGAAATGTCGCCACAGTGGAATGAACCGCCAACTATTTCAGTATATGTTTTTATGCAGCAATTGTACTTTCAGCCACAACCCAGTACTGGGAAACACCCATACACTCACATGCATACTCATACACTACGACCAATATTGTTAATCTAATTCACCTATAGCGCATCTTTAGACTTGTGGGGGAAACTGGAGCACCCAGAGGAAACCCACAAGAACACAGGGAGAACATGCAAACTCCACACAGAAATGCCAGCTGGCCCAGCCGGGTCTCGAACCATTCTCGACATTCTTGCTGTGAGGTGACAGTGCAAACCACTGAGCCACCGTGCCACACATTTCTAATGTTACTATCATGGGTGCCTATATATTAAATATTAAAATACAAATAAATTCATTTAAATTCATTTAACAATATTTCTGTTTTACTGTGTTTATGCTGCCTTGGCTCACCATTGTCAAAAAAAGAATTGTAAAAATCCCTTCAAATGACAGTTATACAAAGCCTAATTTACTACAATAATATTATATTAAAAATATTTATGTGATTCATACTCACCAACATCACCGATGAAGTCCTTATGAGTGTGTTGATGATAAGTCTGTAAATAACCCAAAATAAAAACAACACTAAATTCAGGTTCAGTTCTGATATAATGTATATTTGCAGAAAATCAAACTATAATAGACATAACAAACCTCTTTACTCAGGGCTGGATGGATTAATCTAGGGTCAGCTGATGCACTACAGAAGACAGAAAAACATAATATTACTCATTTTTATATAGTTTTCAGACATATAATAAAATTTAATATAATATAACAATATAATATAATATAATATAATATAATATAATATAATATAATATAAGGTCACATTTTATTTTGATGGTCCGTTTGCTGAATTAAAAACATTGCATCTACATGACAACTAATTCTCATTAGATATTAAATAGACTGTTAGATTGGGCTTAGGGTTGGTGTAAGTTGACATGTACTTGCAAAGTTTTTTAAAATTACTGTTGTAGGAGCAATATTAGTTGATATTAAGCAAGTGGACCATCAAAATAAAGAGTTACATAATATAATATAATATAATATGATATAATATAATATAATATAATATAATATAATATAATATAATATAATATAATACAATATAATATAGTTTTGTAAAATAATGGCCATTACTTTGGACGAGTGTTGTGCTCATCCTTATCATGCTCTTTGTTCTCGTCCAGTTTATCATTCAGGAAAGGGTTGGGTTTATGAACTGAGTTAAAAAAAAACAAACAAGGAAAAAATAATATAATCAGTTCTGACACACAAAAAGCATATGATTTAAAGCACAAATTTAAAGTAGACATGTGCCAATATTTAATAAAACAATATATTGTGATAATGAACACATGATATTGTTGTTTGCACTTATTCAGAATTCAGGTTGCACTGAATATCCAGACTGCTGCATTTACAATTCAAAGTCCTATCTGTTGCTATCTAAATGGTATTTATTTTCAAACATAGACATTTTCACATGCTAATCTGTTTGACAACATTCCTCAGATATTGACTGTGGTTGTCAGCAGATGCTTTTTGGTCACCTAAATATCTTTTGTGTTCAATAGAAAAAAGAAACTCAAACAGATTTGAACGGGAGTGTGAGTAAATGATGTCAAAACTTTCTGAACTATCCGTTAACGAAACCATTGAAGTAGTGAAGAACAATAGAGGGCAACATGGGGCACAGTATGTTGACTTGCATGACTCAGTCTGAGTGTAAAAAGTTTGAAATGAGCAGACAGGTGTGGTGTGTGTACTCAAAGGTAATATTCTTCTTAACAGCGTTGCTTTAATAAGGAAGGCATGAAGTCCAACACACCTGCTGTTTTCTTCCATCTCATAGAGGTCCTCACCACCGCTGTGACGTCTGTCTGCTGGCCGTATCGCTTGATCCTGAGCTCCTCAAACCACTCGCCTGTCAAATTCTTCAGCTGTTGAAGGTCAGGAACAGACTGCCTCAGTTTCCTGGTGTGACAGAAAAACACAAAGAGAGTTCTTGTTTAACAGAGCAGACAAATGCCCTTGTTAAAGGGAAAGTTTACCCAAAATCTTTAACATAAAATAGTTTTGAAAAAAGTTCATCTTTTGAAGGATGTTGAAAACCTGTAGCTATTGGGATCCATAGTAGGAAAAAAATCTAATCAAAATCAAAGCGAAATCAATGGCTACTAGTTTGCAACATACTTCAAATTATCTTTTTTTGTGTTCGACAGAAAATAATTCAAATACGATTGGAAGAAGTGGAGGATGAATTGAATTAAATTGAGGTATTTGTGGGTGAATGATCAATTTAAGATCAGAATATGCTAGCGAACAAGAGCATATTCTATTTTTAAAATAGCTACTGTATATACTGTACACTCACCGGCCACTTTATTAGGTACACCTGTCTAACAGCTCATTAACGCAAATTTCTAATCAGCCAATCACATGGCAGCAACTCAGTGCATTTAGGCATGCAGACATGGTCAAGACGATCTGCTGCAGTTCAAACCAAGCATCAGAATGGGGAAGAAAAGTGATGCTGATGCTAGAGGTCAGGAGAGAATGGCCAGACTGGTTCCAGCTGATAGTAAGGCATCAGTAACTCAAATAACCACTCGTTACAACCAAAGTATGCAGAAGAGCATCTCTGAACGCACAACACATCCAACCTTGAGGCAGATGGGCAACAGCAGCAGAAGACCACACCAGGTGTCACTCCTGTCAGCTAAGAACAGGAAAATAAGGCTACAATTCGCACAGGCTCACCAAAATTGGACAATAGAAGATTGGAAAATATGGTAAGGTGTACCTAATAAAGTGGCTGGTGAGTGTGTGTATATATATATATATATATATATATATATATATATATATGTATATATATATATATTTATTTATTTATTTATACAAATAAAATGTAAATAATGCAAGTATTATTAAGAGGGCCAATTATTAATATTAAACAAAAAGTAAATAAAACATTAAAATTAAATACAAAAAATGTAAAAGATATTTAAATAGTATATTACATACACATAGATAATGACATAAATAAACAAATAATGATATAAATAAATAAAACTGTAACTTTACACTTTTAAATGAAGGAAAATACAGCATCATTTATAAGCATGCGTACTTTATCCTCGCGAAATATCGTGTGGATCAATCACCCATTTCCTACCTGACTCGTCCACTCTCTAGTCGTTTTAAGTCTTCATCTCTTAGCAGCACCTGACGGATGGCCGCCTCTTCCTCGGCAGACAGAAAACTCAAGTCTAGCAGTCCCAGGGCACTTTTGGACGGTTTCATTCTGCTCAATAAAAACAAACGAGCACGTTTCCCCAAGGTAAGCTGCGAACCACCGCGCTTTACTTTAATCGGAAATCTTGACAGTGCAGTCTCAGTCGTCGTGATTCCGTTTTAGCGCAGGTAAACTCGACTCTCCCCGAGGTGAACAGCAGTTTTCGACTGCTGGAGGAAGAGAGAGAGAGCTTCAGCACTTTTAACGCGGTGTCAGTCATTCACTTTCACACGGTGCGCGGTGACGTCATCTACCAACATTCAGTTTGAGGAGGAGAGTTACTGTTTACCTACCTGCGTCCTTCAGGAGTGACCTAGAAACCCAAACCACCCACAAGAAAAAAATAACATAGTCATTTTTAGTAAGTACTATAGTTTTTTAACCATTCTACAGTAAAGTGGATCATAGTGTTTTCAACACTTTGTTAATGAATGCTCAAAACTGGTATAAATTTAATAAACAGATAAAATTTAAATGATGTAGTGTTCTTTAGTTATTACTGGAGTAAACTGTGGTGTAGTGTGACCCTAAACCAACCACATGAAAAAATACCATAGTAATTTATAGTAAATACTACAGTGTCTTTAACCATACTACAGTAAAGTGGATCATAGTATTTACAACAACACTTTGTTAATGAATGCTCAAAACTGGTATCAACTTAGTGTACAGATAAAATTTAAATACTGTAGTGTGCTTTAGTTTTTACTTGAGTAATCTGTGGTGTAGTGTGACCCTAAACCACCAACACCAACAAAAAATACCCTTGTAGTTTATATTAAATACTACAGTGTTTTTAACCATACTAAAGTAAAGTGGATCATATATTCACAACACGTTGTTAATGTTCAAAACTTTATTATAAACTTGTGAACAGATCAAATTTAAATATGTAGTGTGCTTTAGTTTTTACTAGAGTAAACTGTGGTGTAGTGTGTGCCTAAAGCACCCACATGAAAAATACCATAGTAATTTATAGTAAATACCACAGTGTTTTTAACCATACCACAGTAGTGGATTTTAGTATTTACAACACTTTGTTAATGAATGCTCAAAACTGTAGTATAAACTATAATACCAGAATAATTTAAAGCAAAAACTTTAGTGTTTTTGACTATACTACAGTAAAGTCTAGTATACCGTATATAAGCTAGGCCTATATCATAGTAGGCTATTAACAACACTTTGAATGCTCAAGTAAACTATAATGCTCAAGTAACTATTAAATACTGTAGCATACTTTAGTTTTTACCACAGTAAATTGTGGTGTTGTGTGGTAGCTATAATATACTTTATAGTTGTAGACAAATTACAACAAAGAATGTAGATGTATGCCTTAAAGGGATTTTGACTTTGGTATTGGGTTCATATTACTATGTTGTTATGTTACCAAAGCAGATGTTTAATCACGACAACATATTAATGTTTTACAATAGTACCATGGTTCAAAAACACTGTTGTATTTACTATAAAAACTGTAGTGTTTTTTCATGCCGACAGACTAAGTATAGATGTGAAAATTACAGTTTTTTTATTTATTAGTATAATAAGCAACTTGATATTATAATAAAATAATAAAATTCAATATTTATTAATTAATTAATATTGCAATATACAAAACATTATTACCTAATTATGCATTAATGCCACAGCACGGCAGCCTAAGACTCACTACTCACTGAAGCTACTGTAAGAAGGGCTGAGCCTGGTTGGTACCTGGATGGGAGACCACATGGGAAAGCTAGGTAGCTGTTGGAAATATTGTTAGTGAGGCCAGCAGGGGGCGCTCAACCTGTGCTATGTGTGCGTTCTGCTGCCCCAGTATAGTGAAGGGGACACTATAATGAGCGCAATCTTTCAGATGAGACCGAGTTCCTGACTCTCTGTGGTCATCAAAAATCCCATAGCACTTCTCGTAAAGAGTTGCGGTGTAAGCTTGGTGTTCTGGCCAAAAATCGGCCCTTACCCATCATAACCTCCCGATCATCCCTATCCACTATAGCTGGTGTGTGGTGGTGAGCGCACTGGTGCTGTTGTCCTGTTGCTGCCATCGCATCATCCAAGTGGATTCTTTGGGTGTATGGCCGCTAGATAAATACACATTATTTACTTAATTACTTAGTTACTAATATATACTTAAACTAATAATCAAGAATTGTTTATATGAAAAGCATATGGATTATAAGTAAAGTCTACTTTAATGTGGAAATAAAATATCAAAATATGGGAGAAATTATGTTTTATCACCATTCAGCAAAACATATTTATAAAATAAATAAACATGTTGCGGAGATAATAAATCCCACAAAAATAATAACCAGAAAAAACAAAACAAAAAAAAAATATATATATATATATATATAAATTCACAAGACAAGTAGCACTGGCCTAACGTTTTCTCTCTTTACAAATAAAGAAATCTGATAAATCAATTTACGTCTCCACACCACTCCACAACCTTACTCCTACACCCCACACCAAACTGTGCTCACTCTGACCTTTTAATAGCAGGGGAAACTGCAATAGAATGGCTCATAGCATTACAGCAGTTAAGTATTAGGTAAATATATCTATAAACTATATATGTATACACTCCATTTGCATACTATAAAGTTTTTCCACCATAACTAAACTGATATGAATAAAATAAACAATGAAATATACTTTAAATAATAAGCTATGCTGAAACTAGCTATATTAAATTCATTCATTCATTCATTTTCTTTTTGGCTTAGTCCCCTAATTAATCTGGGGTTGCCACAGCGGAATGAACCGCCAAATTATCCAGCACATTTTTACGCAGCGGATGCCCTTCAAGCCGCAACCCATCTCTGGAAAACATCACACACAATCAAGTGATAAATATCTTTGTTTTGTTTTTCTTCTTCTTTTCGATGAGGCCTCAAAGTGTTATAGTTCACCCAAAAATGAAAAAATTACGCACCATTTACTCTCCCAGAATACCTTAGTGTATTTATTTTCAAGAACACAGAAGAACATGTAATGAAGAGTAGCCATTGACATCGTCAGTAGAAAAAACAAGTATCATTATATCTTCTTTTGTGTTTAACAGAAGAAATAAACTCAAAGAGCTTTGGAACAAATGGAGGACGAGTAAATGATGAGTTTTTTTATTTTTGGGTGAACTATCCCTTTAAGCAATATGCAATCAGAAGACACACCTAATTCAAGTTTAAACATGCTTTTTTTGCTATGTAATAATTTGTAAAGTAAGTGACAAACCCAAGAGGAAGCAGAAGATAATCAACATAAAGAAGGAAGAGGACAAGATTATATCTAATATATTTTTCTTCTGATGATAAAGCTTCTGGTTTCCTGTTCTTGGTTCTCTGTGAGCTTTCACAGGGGAGATGAGAGATGTATGTCTGCTTTGCTATTTTGGAGGGCATCTTGTAAAGACAAACAAGAATGTTCAGTTCAAAATTAATATCTATGGGGAGTTTTATAGGTGTGCATTAGCAGTTGACTTTGGTGTGTATAGCCGAAAGCACAATGTTGACCCACACCACACCTTTTAGATAAAGCTGTTGCAGTGTCTTGACTCAATTTCTAGAAGTCACACAACTAATGAGAGCCCAGAAACTGAAAGAAAAAAGTTTTACTTAGTGAAAATCTTGGTAAACATCAGTAAATCAGCCAGCTTCCAGTAGGTGGCAGCAATTACTCAATAAAAGCACTAAACTGCCTTGAGATTTCATTGATAAATCAATGTCTGTAGAATTTATTCACCATTTCTTGGAAAAGGGATATATGTCAAAGATATTATGGTGTCTGCGTTTAATTAAATTAACAAAACTGATTTGTTACCCGGAAAACATTGTAAAGCAAGTATCAAATAAAATAGCAGTGAAATAGTGTTGCAGGGTCTTTCAATGCATAACAGATAAATCATGTAAAAATGAAACAACATACTTATTCTGACCTGTTGTTAAGCATACAAAATGTACATATATTTATTTATTATATTTTATTTTTTGCTAGAACAGTTGTTTTTTGAGTAACTAGGCCTAAATAAGAGGAAGCAGGGTATAATGTATGTAATATAATAATAGGATATTGCATAATATTATTTAATTGCCTATACAAACTCAATATTATATAAATCTAATGCTATAATATATATTTCAAACTATATCATCATTTATCTTCCATTATTTGATGTAAATTCATTTTGAAATGAGCAAATTGGAATATAATTTTATTGCCTACACAGTATTACTTTTATACCAAAACCAACTCTATGAAAATTTAATAAACATAATTCACTTCCAATACTGTAAAACATAATATTATATTATATTAATTACTTTTATAAGACTTTGTATTGATGCTGGCAACCTGTAACATTTACCATTTTATTAGAAGGTTTTTTGTTTTTCAAAATTATTATTTTAATTATTATTATTTTCCCCCATCTGTCTCCAGTTATTCTCTGATGTTATGTACTTAAGTATTTTATGTACTTAAATTGTTTTTTATGTATTTATTTATTTTTGGTTTGTTAATTGAATTAATGAATGAGATGTTAGGGGATTTGATTAACAATGAACAATATATTACTGCTTACTTCTCTCAATATTTAATTTGTATTGTCATACAAAAGTAAAAAAAAAAAAAGATTATATTATATTCATTCATTCATTCATTTTCTTTTCAGCTTAGTCCCTTAATTAATCTGGGGTGGCCACAGCAGATTGAACCGCCAATTTATCCAGCTTATGTTTTATGCAGCGGATGTCCTTCCAGCCACAACCCAGTACTGGGAAACACCCATACACTCACACGCACACTCATACACTACGGCCAATATTGTTAATCTAATTCATCTATAGCGTATGTCTTTGGACTGTGGGGGAAACCGGTGCACCCGGAGGAAACACACGAGAACACGGGGAGAACATGCAAACTCCACACAGAAACAAACACACAGAAACACCAACTGACCAACCCCAGGCTCGAACCAGCAACCTTCTTGCTGTGAGGCGACAGCACTACCTTCTGCCTTCTATTAAATTAAATTATATTATAATTATATCATATCAAGACCATTCCAATGTGGTGATCTCACTGGCACATGAAAATATCCTGCTTGTTGTCACACTATTTCATAACTGTAACAAGAGGCAGTTTAATCATGTCTTAACTTCACAACAGCTGTCATAACGGTGTTGACATTTTGGATTCTTGTAAACTGGAATCCCTGAAAACGATCTAAATTATAGTATATTATATTAACCTGTTTCAATCCATCACCCTGAAATGAGCAAATTATCTACCCTGTAAATATTGCTGTAAAATTTACAAATGCACGCTAAATTAACAATTACAGTTGCGCTGTATTTTACAGTATTATTGGCAGTTTTTACAGTATTCTTGGCTAGATTTACAAGCCTGAACTAAAAATATTTTATAAAACTATAACACAATTATAATTGTTAATTTACAGTGTACTTGTCAATTTTACTTTATTACTGGCAACTACAATTACCAGTATAATACTGTAAACTGTACAGCAATTTGGTTAGGGTATGGGATTAACAATAGAAAATGTATTACTGCTTACTGAGACACTCTCAACATTTAATTTGTACTGTCAGACAAAAGACCAATAAAAAGATTATAAATTTAATAGATTATATTATATTAAATTATTAACCTGTTTTAATTCATCACCCTGAAATGAGCAAATTATCTACCCAATAAAAATTGCTGTAAAATTTACAAGTTCAACGTAAATTAACTATTACAGTTGCGCTGTAGTTTTACAGTATTACTGGCAATTTCCACCGTATTACTGGCTAAATTTACTAGTGCGCTGTAAATTAACAGCTAACTGTTCTGTAAAGCTACAGCACAATTGTAATTGTTCATTTTCAGTGCACTTGTAAATATACAGTATTACTGGCAACCAAAATTGTAAAACCACACTTGTTGGTGCGTCTTCCGTCGTGTAATATTTTTGTTTTGTAGACAATCCACATCCATAAGCCCTTCTGTATTGCCGTCACGTATCTGCAGCAGAAAAGCGTTGTGTGAGGTAACCGTGTTGCTCTGACGTCATTTACAACTCTCTCTCTCTCCGCGCCGCATCATCATCATCATCAGCCTCAGTGCGCGCTGGTGATGGTGATGTTGATGATGCTTCGAATGTTATTCATTTCGTTCTTTGTCGTTCGTTTCCCGCCATTGATTATTAACTGACTGACTGGTGTGGACCAATAAAACCCGCTGAAATCAGACGCTGGAAATACTGGCGATTCACGTGAACAGACGCTGAAAGAGAAACAGCATGATGGGTTTACATGAGTTCATATGGATGACAGGTGTACTAATGGCGCAGGACCGTCTTTAACCTGTTTGCGAGGGCTTATTTGATCGTGACAGGACGTGAAGATGGCGACGGGCACGGGCTGGCAGCCGCCGTACAGCGCTGCTCCGGGCATCAGCCCTCCCGCCGCCGCCGCCGCCGCTTCTTCAGCTTCTGGATCCGGCAGCAGTCCATCCTCCACGTCCAGCCATTTACTCTACGAATCTGCCCTGACCATGGAGTACACTCAAGATCTGCACCTGAAGATGAGCAAAAAAATAGCACAACTCACTAAGGTGGGTGTCATCATCACGTTGCTCATATGTCAGGGAAATAGTGTGCATTTTAATAACTTTGATATGGATATACTGTAAGCTGGATATCCTGCATGATGTTTAATCCTTTATCCCCCATAGAGATGATGCCCTACATATTGCAATTTTTGCACCGCAGTGTTTTTTTTTTTACTGCAAAAATCCCTTTATAATCCGACCCAAGATGTGCAAGCGTTTAATCTATGATTACTTTGTACCAAAAACAAATCAACGCGTCTTACATAATGAGTCTTTAACGCAGGCTTGTTTATTAGCATTTGCGTTCATGCTGTATTTGATTGAGCAATCTGCGTTTAATCCCTTGCATATTTTTGCCTTTATATTTTGGGTCCCAGAACTCAGTGTTGTACTGTAAATGAAAACAATAACAAAAACTAACCGGTCAGCTTCTTTTCATTTAATGTAAACAAAACAGACAAATGTTACGCGTTTCATCCTGAGTTAATTGCATGCTTTTCACTGAAACGTGACTAATGACTGTTTGGGGTCTGTTTTTTTACGCAGTGTAAAAAATAAAATAAAAGAGAAAATTGTATTTATTCAGAAGCCCTCAAACATGTAAAATGTTGTTGAGCCTGTTATGAACTTGAAATGTCATTTAATGAATGGATTTTGGATATAATGATGTCATTTCATAAATGGGTCAAAGACAGATGTCCTATTTTGTTGTCCGCATTAAATTTATAAAAGTGATTTTATATACAATGTAAACAATATTAAGCAGATTAAATGATTGACATGATGACAGTAAATAATATTTTACTAGATATTTTTTCAAGACACTTCTGTACAGCTTAAAGTGACATTTAAAGGATTAACTAAGTTAATTAGGTTAACTGGGCAGGTTATCGGGAAAAAATATAGCTTAAAGGGGTTAATAATTTTGTCCTTAAAATGGTGTTTAAAAATTAAAAACAGCTTTTATTAGAGCCAAAATAAAAAAATAAAGACTTTCTCCAGAAGAAAAAATATTGTCAGACACACTGTGAATATTTCTGTGTGTGTGTGTTGTTGTAAAACAATGAAACAACATTAATATGTTTCTATTAATATTAACAGAACATGCTTATTAAAATAAAGAATAAGTGATATCACTAAATTGTATTATATTTTAAATGATTTAAACAAACGGGTATAATCTAGGCTCTCTAGTGTTTTGAAGTAAAGCAGCAAAGTATAAAGATTGAAAATGACAATAAATTAATATTTTGATGCTATAAAGAGATGCTTAAATAGAGTCTTATATTATGTCAACAAAGTATTCTTGCTAGAAATATACTCAAACAGATTTTTAACATACACATTTATTATGCTAAATACCATTAATAAGTCTTTAATAAAGGTGTTCTGTAAATTAATTACAAAAATATATGATAATCATTAGGTCTGTCGCGATATCTGTTTTTTGTGGCATGATATATAGCAACAAATTTTATTGCGATAAATGATATTATTGTCATTTTAAGACCATTTTGACACTATAAAAGCATGATAATGCAAGTACACTCTTCCAAAGAACACGTTATGTTTTATTATTAAGAATATTTAACTTTATTACAGTAATTTTAACAATTTAATAATCAGGCATCCAAATCAGAATGTGAAAATGCATATCCTAAAGAAATAAATATAGTAATAATAATAATAATAATAATAATATTAAATGTTAACAAAAATGTTCAAGGTAAAAAGAACTAGAAAAAAGTAACAGATATTTTTTCAGTCTAGACAATACACAAATGTACTATAGTAATTTATAGTAAATATTAGTGGTCTTTTTAACCATACTAACACTGGCACCTCCAATAGAGATAGAGAGGCTGTACAATCAGCTAAAATGTGGTTAGAATAGTTTTTTATGAATGGGTGATATATATTACATTACCAAAAAATTATTGAGGACATGTCCATGTGTTGTGCTATTAATCCATATTATTGTTACAGACCTAATAATCTTTTTTTGCCTCAAAAAATGGAAACAGAATAGATTAAAAAAAACATATTTTTTTGCAATAAAAACTTAATTGCAGACAAATAATTAATTAAGCAGATACGTTTCAAGTAAAAAAAAAAAGTAAACATGCATTTGACAGAAATGTGTTTGGTATTATTTGTATCAGCAATGCATTTTCTGTTTTGAGTCTGTTTGCATAAATAATGTAAATAAAAAAAATGGATTATTTACATATACATGTAAGGACGCAGAAATAATAAGCATGTTTATCAAAGTATAAACATGATTATTAAATGTCATGTCTATTTTTGACCTACTAAAATACCTCAGACTCAAACCAGACCAATAATTTAAATTCCCATCTAATCCATATCATTAATATGGTACTGTAAGTTTAAGAAAACTAATTCAACAGCTTTGTTCAGAAAACTCCTGAATTTTAATGCTACGAAGCTGACAGGGAGTCTGTTAATGCACTAATTAGACTAGGTAGGGCTTCTTTGCATAACTACAGTTCTGCAGAATTGGCCGTCCTTACAGTATGTTAATAACATGGATGCGACAGAAAGGAATCAATTAAAGATGAAAAGGAGAGCAGCAGTGCGAGAGCAGCGAGCGAAGGCGGCTTGCTTTGATGTGCAACTCTTCAGCACAAGGAAAGAGAGTCATGATTATGAAATGCTCGGCTGGAAAAATAAAACTGTTGGCTGCATAAGGTGATTTTTAACACGGACGCTCGTTTATTAAATTAACAGTTTGGTCCAACTCAGAAAGAGTTTCATAGAAGTACAAGCATTTGGTGTACTGGAGCTCTGAGGATTTTAGTGAATATAGCCCTCCAGTGATTTTTTTTCTTTTCAAATATTCCCCAAATAATGTTTGACAGAGCAAGACAATTTTCACAGTATTTCCTTTAACATTTTTGCTACTTGAGAAAGTCTAAATTGTTTTATTTCAGCTAGAATAAAAGCAGTTCTTCATTTAAAAACAAATAATTTTTTATGTCAAAATTATTAGCCCCCTTAAGCAATATTTTTTTTTTCAATTTTGTCTACAGAACAAACCATCGTTATACAAAAATATGCCTAATTACCTTAACTTGCCTAATTAAGCCTTTAAACTGCACTTCAAGCTGAATACTAGCATCTAGAAAAATATCCATTGAAATGAACCATTGATACAAGGCAGGGTGGATCCATGCTTGTTGTTGATGCCAAATTCTGACCCTACCATGGCAGCAGAAATCAAGACTCATCAGACCAGGCAACATTTTTCCAATCTTCTATTGTCTAATTTTGGCCAGCCTGTGCGAATTGTAGCGTCAGTTTTCAGTTCTTATATGACAGGAATGGCACTCTGTGTGGTATTCTGCTGCTGTAGCCCATCAGCCTTAAGGTTGGATGTGGTGTGCGTTCAGAGGGATTATAAACTTCTGCATACCTCAGTTGTAATAAGTGGTTATAGTGGTTATTTGAGTTACTGTTGCCTTTCTATCAGCTGGATCCAGTCTGGCCATTCTCCTCTGACCTATGGCATCAACAAGGCATTTGCGCTCACAGAACTGCCGCTCACTGGATATTTTCTATTTTTCGGACCATTCTCTGTAAACCCTAGAGATGGTTGTGTGTGAAAATCCCAGTAGATCAGCAGTTTCTGAAATACTCAGACCAGCCCGTCTGGCACGAACAACAATGCAATGTTCAAAGTCACTTAAATCACCCTTCTTCGCAGTTCTGATGCTCGGTTTGAACTGCAGCACATCGTCTTGACCATGTCCACATGCCTAAATGCATTGAGTTGTTGTCATGTGATGGGCTGATTAGAAATTTGCATTAATGGGCAGTTGGACAGGTGTACCTAATACAGTGGCTGGTGAGTGTATTATGTACTGTCATCATGGCAAAGACAAAAGAAATCCGTTATTAGAAATGAGTTATTAAAACTATCATGTTTAGAAATACGTTGGAAACACATCTGTTAAACAGAAATTGGGGGAAAAAATACAGGGGGGCCAATAATTTTGACTTCAACTCTACATTAGGTATCAGGAAGATACATAAAAAAAACTCTTTAGTATAAAAATGCACTTGTAAGTATGTGTATAGGGATGTACAGTGCATCAAAACGATATAAAGATAAATTTATGTGCATCCTTATTGCCTAATATTTCGCTGTCAAGTAGCCAGTGGAAAGAATCTATTTTGGTTGGTAGTTCTCTCTGGTGCTTGCCAGAGGTCAGAAGAGGTTGTTTTCTGGGTCTGTAATGATTTTCCCTCTTTTTTTTCCGAATTTTAGCTGGTTGGACTGCAGTTGTCCTCTTTTTGATGCAGTGGTCAAACCAAACCAGACAGGTGGCTGTATCTTTCAATGTGGGTTGAAAGGGAATTTGACTAAAAGGGATAGTTCACCCTAAAATGAAAATTTTGTGATTATTTACTTACCCTTCGCTGGTCACATACTTGTTTGAGATTGTTTTTGTTTTGCTGCTGAACACAATAGAAGATATTTTTTAAAATGTTGGAGCTGCTAGCCATTGACTTCAAAATTATTTGTATTTTCCTACTGTGGAAATCCAGTTACCAACATTCTTCACCATATCTTTTGTTTTCAACAGAAGGTTGAGTAAATAATAAGTACGTATTTAATTTTTGGTGGACTTTCCTTTTAAACAGTTTAGAAATCAGTTTATGAATAGGAGCAAGGCAAACTTCATTAAATATGACACTAGATCCAATTAGGCATTCAACTCTACAATATAGAAAAGTGTCATTGTTTGGTTCAGTCTGCTTCAGTTCATGAAACAATAGCTGTGTAAAGTCATCCGCCGAGTTTAATTCAGCTGAAAGCAGCTCTCCTGTAGACAAAAGTTTCATTATTCATCTCAAATTAGTTTAAATCAGCATTGATTCGGTTCAGTTCAGTCACTGTGTCTATGCTTCAAAATCCAACAATCATTGATTCAGCAATGCTAATTAATCTTTGCATAAGACGATCATCATCCAGCTCAAAAAAGTTTTTACCTGTAATTCACACCAAAGTTCTGGTATTTGCTCACCCTCAAGTGCTTCGCTTTGTGTCTTCTCTGTAGAACAAAAAGAAGATCATTTGATGAGCGTTTTTACTGTTTTTGTCCATACAATAGAAGCCAGTGGGGTCTAAAACAACATTAGACCAACATTAATGAACTTTCAATGTATGTATATGGTCAAAAGAGTAAAAACAAAAAGCAAAAAGACTGACTTTTGTATGTTTACCGTGATTTAAAAAAAGACCCTTTTAGTAAAGTGTCATTCAGTGTCACAGTAGAGCACAGGTGTCAAATCCAGTTCCCGGAGGGCTGCAGTTCTGCACAGTTTAGCTTTAACCCTAATTAAACACACCTGATCAAATTATTTGAGTCCTTCAGGCTTGTTTAAAACCTACAGGTTAGTGTGTTGAAGCAGGGTTGGAACTAAACTGGGCAGAGCTGCGACCATTCAGGAACTTGATTTGACATCTGCAATAGATTATACACTCAAAAATGAAGTATACTGTTTGTTCAAACAACCTATTTAAAATTAGCTGAAACAATTAAATTTTTTTTCTTCATTTTTTGGGGGGCAACGAAATTGTTTCATGTTCAATCCACTTAAATTTGTAACAAAACTATTAGGTTACCTTGATTCCTTTTGATTGTCCCAACACAAATCGATTGTGTGGAACCCAGAATTTTTACAGTTTATACCAATACATTTTAGTATGTTAAAAGACTCTATTTTAAGGGTTAGTTCACCCAATAATGTATATTCTGTAATTATTTACTCCCCCTTGTGTTAGTTGTGTTAGTTCCTCTCTATTGACCTTATTCTCAAATGCGGAAGTGCGCCTGTTTCGCGATTGTTTTAGAACTTCCGATTCAGTCGCCTATGGGTGAAATGACTAGGAATAGTAAACAGCAGAAAACGGTCAAACTACTTGCTCTACAAACAAATGTTTGCATGACTATACACACCAAGTAGAAAATTATAATCAGAACATCAATAAGCAACATCAAACAGCGAAACGGGCAGTTTTTAATGTCTAAAAATGAATGGAAGTGAATGAGAACGGAAGTCTCGAGCCAAAAAGATTCAAATGGCTGCTCCCGCTCGTCGGCTAAGATTAAGGTGAATAACATGAATTAAGATTTTAGATGAAATCCGAGAGTTCTCTCAACCTCCAGATACAGCACCAGTCTCGAAACTTTCAAAGTTTAGATAAGGAAACAAAAACACTGTCTAAAAACTTCAGTGGTTCAGCTGTAATCATACAAAGATTAAAGAAGATTTTTTAAATAAGACTCTGTTTGTCCATGTCTTCTCTTCATCATCAGGTCATGAGGGTGTGCATTTACTACAGGCAGTACAACATATTGCCATTAGAATCAGCAGCGCAACACACAAGCATCATAGAGTTTGTGGTAAATGTTCACCCTGATTTGAAAACAAAGTTATTTTTACTTTTTTTTTGCTATAAAAGTGTTTCTATGATTACTGTTGAACCACTGAAGTCACATGCAATGGATAGACAATATTTTTAGTTGATTTTCTGTGCTTTGAGCATCCCAAGAGCTTTATTATCTATTGATGATGAGAGAGCTCTTAGATTTAATCTAATCTAACTTGGTTTGTTATCTGAAGATGAACAGAGCTCTAAAGAGACTGAAACAACATGAGGGTGAGTAATTAATTACAGAATATTTATTTTTAGGTGAACTAATCCTTTAAGGATAACAATGCAGCCCTAAAATATTAATTCATTGTCATTTTATACCCTTATACTTTTCAACAAGTATGTTGCTTTATGCATACTTAAACATATCTGTTATTCTGAATTACAGTTTCACCTGTATTATGATGTTTAGTTTAAACAAACTTTATTTGAGTCATTAAAACAATTCTAGAAATATAATTTGATGCAGACAGGGAAATGATCTCCTCTTTGAAAAAACCCAATCCATAATAAAGTGAATTTTTGAATCATAAATGTTGCAATAAAGTCATCTTTTTACAGCTGCAGTTTCTTTTATTGCAGTTTATTAATCATGAAGACTGATCATGAAATTACGTTTGACATCCTACAGTCTAAAAAAAATTGCTGCTTGTTTTTGGGGGGACAGCTTAATTGTTTTTGTTCAATCCACTTAAATTAGTAAAAACGATTAAATGAACTTAATCAATTTGTGTTGGGACAGCATGAATGATTTTGTGGAACCCAGCATTTTTAACAGTGTAGGATTAAAAGCTGATTCTTCCCCACTTTTATTTCACACAGGTTATTTATGCCCTCAACACCAAAAACGACGAGCACGAAGACGCCATCCAGTCTCTAAAGGAGGCCCACGACGAGGAGGTGCAGCACATCCTCACAGAGACTCGAGAGAAGATCCTGCACTACAAAAGCAAGATCGGGGATGAGGCCGACCTGAAGCGGCGCTTGCAGTCTCTGGAGGAGTCAGTGGAGCTCCACGAACACATGAAACGCCAAGCTCTGGCTGAGTTCGAGATGTACCGCCAGCGCATGGAGGACACACAGCTGTGCACCGAAGCCCAGCACACCCAACGCGTGGTCTCCATGTCGCGGGAAGTCGAAGAAATGCGACACGAATTTGAAGAGAAGCTGCGCACTTTCAGCCAGGTCCAAGCTCAGTTTGAGCAGGAGAAACGGCACGCGTTGGATGACCTCAAATCAGCCCATCGGCAAGAAGTTGAAGATCTGTTGGAGAGCCAGCAGAACCAGAGTGCATCCTCCAGCCTGGAGCAGGAGAAACTGGCCGAACTTCACCGCACAGAGCTGGAGTCTCTGATGGAGCGCGTGGAGGAGCTAATGCAGGATAAAGTGCGGCTCGCCGAGGAATACGAAGCCAAGCTGAGTAAAGCGCAAGGGTTTTACGAACGTGAGCTGGAGGCCATGAGGCGCACACAGCAGCTTACCACCGAAAACCTGCTGGCCTGGAAGAGGACTGAGGTGGAGCTGAGGAAGGACTTTCAGATGCAGGAGGCGGCACTGCAGAGGACTCTGTGTAAACTGCGATCCGAACTGCACAGAGCTCAGGAGGAGGCCAGAGAGAGCAGAGACAAGACCAACCGGCTGCAGGCCTCGCTCAATAATGCTGAAGTCACAATTAAGGTAATGAGTTTATAGCTTTTGATTAGGGATAGAGATTCAATGAAGGCCGTTTCTTCAAGTCTTGCCACTTACTGTATATTCAAGCGACACTGTATGAAATGTCTTTTAATTAAGAGTTTTGGTGATTCACAAACGTTTTCTGTTTATTAATGGGTGTGAATTGCATTATGCGGATCTCTGCTCTGTTAACTTTTGATGTTGAAAATTAAATTCTATGGTTTTACAAAGTGACTTATTTACATTTTTGCAGTATGAAACAATATCATGTTTAAGAAATAATATAGAGAGTAATAAATCTGTAAAATAGTAGAAAAAGTATTGGCAGTACAAGGTTTTTGTATCGGGATATACAACACCAATTCAGACTATATATCTCTTTAAACAATTATAAATGTTAATAAAAGCCACTTTCTTTTTTAAATTTTGAAGGTTAAAAGTTGTTGGAAGAAAGATCAAGGTCCCATAGAGCAATTAAAAAAACATGAATCACAAAATACAGAAAACTGCTCATTTACAGATATTCTTTACAGTAGATAGTTCTTCCAAAATCAAAATTAACTTACTATTTATGCACTCTCAAGTGGTTTAAAACCTTTATGGGTTTCTTTCGTCTGTAAGATATTTTGAAGAATGTTGGAAACTAACCTGTAACCATAGACTTCCATGGTAATTGTTTTTTCTACTACGGAAGTCAACAGTTGCTGGTTTTCAGCTTTCTCCAAAATATTTTCTTCAGTTCAGCAGAAGAAACTGATGAAGGTTTGGAGCAGTTGAGGGCGAGTCAATTTTCATTTTTGGGTGAACTCTAAAGGCTGTCAGAGGTTTTTTATTTCTGTAATATTGAAGTCTTATTAAAATTGTCTCTTAGAGTCTTAATAATTAAATTTTATTGCATTTTACATGCAGTAGCTTTTGTTGAAGATTTGATCTTTTTATAGACTTTTTAATATCAAGACGCTGTATGTCATATACGCTTGAAGTTCAATTCAACAACAACAAAAAAATGTATACCAAGTGCTGATTTTTAAAAGAAATTTATTTAATCTCAAAAATTTTAATAACTTAATTCTAATGACAAATTTCTTCATTTCTTTCTCATGGTGACAGTAGGGCTGTGTGATTTGGGGAAAATATCTAATGGCGATTTTTGTTTTTGTGACAGATGTTACGATTTTGATTTGCGATTTATTTTTGTAGTCAAGCTTCGCCTCAATCTGTATGGTAGCTTCTTAATGCTAAAATGCAGTGAGTGTTAGTTAAAAAAGGAACTGAAAAGATTTAAACTTAAACATTTATTTAAATTTGTTTTTAAATATTCAGAAACTAAACAAATTTTTCTCTGGAGCAAACAGTAAACACAAATAAAATTAACCTTCTGTAAACAGGTTGAACTAAAATTAGGGAGATAGTGTAGCTTATTATAAAAACAAAAAATAATCATTTTAAAAATACAGAACACTCAGCAAACTAACATGGCTGAAACAACTCTGAAATTGTACTTTGCTGTTGCTCACTACTAGATTGAGTGTCACTGGCAATACTTTCAGTTGACTTTTTAGCTAGACACTTCTCATATAGCCACCTGTGGGGCTTTTTTAGTTGCTGGTATTTCCTTGTGTTGTGGCAATAATTATAATACAGCTCTTATAAATGACCTGTGTTTATTCAGTGTCGGTGACTTTGAAACCAAAATATTCCCATATTACTGATGTTCTGCTTTTCTTTGGTATTAATTAGTTTATTAATGCTTCTGAAGCGGCAAATGCTATTATCCCACTCGTCCGTTATTTCTTGTTTGTGTGTTCAATATTGTGGGCGTGCCGCATAATTCCGTTGCACAATTCTGATTGGGCAGAAGGAATTTGTGCTCACTCGATTGGCTAGTAAGACTATCACACACAGACGGCAGTCAAGCATTTACTCTGAGCTTGGAGAGTTAGGTAATACATATATATTTCATATCACTGCCTTTTGCGATTAGCTAATTGCAACGTTTCAAATAGCGATTGTGATTTGATTTCGATTAACCACACAACCCTAGGTGACAGTAAATAATATTTCACTAGTTATTTTTCAAGATACTAGTATTTTAGCTTAAAGTACAATGGCTTAAGGTTATTTGGTTAATTAGGCAAGTTATTGGATAACAATGGTTTGTTCTGCATAGCCAACAAAAAATAAAATGTAATACTGACTTTGTTTTAAGTAATATAAAAACTGCTTTCATTCAAGCCAAACCAAAAGAATCAAAGCATTCTCCAAAATAAACAATATGCTTCACATCACTTATATTAAATATTTGAAAAACAAAACAAAAGGAGGTTAATTATTAAGGGTATAGCTGGATGTACTTTTAGAAAATTGAATCTAAGTATGAAATCTCTCCCCCTCCCCCCAAAAAAGTTATTGGTTAGTGTTAGCTATTGGAAAAACAAACATTGATCAATAATAAGCAATACATTTGTAATATTACTAGTAACAATCATTCATTCATTTTCTTTTCAACTTAGTCCCTTCATTAATCTGGGGTCGCCACAGCGGAATGAACCACCAACTTATCCAGCATATGTTTAATGCAGCGGATGCCCTTCCAGTTGCAACCCATCACTGGGAAACATCCATACACTCTCATTCACACACATACACTACTGACAATTTAAGCTTACTCAATTCATTTATAGTGCATGTGAGAAAACCGTAGCACCTGGAGGAAACCACCAGGAACACGGGGAGAACAATACTAGTAACATAGTCAATCAAAATACATTTGATCATTGTTATCTCATCCTACAACCTAAAATCTTGCCAAAAATGGTCTTATTAAAAAAATGACATGCAAGAAAAATATGCTGGACGAAAACACAGATATTGTGCACCATTTTAAAATCGTATTCTTGTGAAATGTTTTAAAACAGTAATTATTTCAGTTAGTAAACTACCCTATATATAATTTAGAATGTACGGTGGCTCCGTGGTTAGCACTGTCGCCTCACAGCAAGAAGGTTGCTGGTTCGAGTCCTGGCTGGGCCAGTTGGCATTTCTGTGTGGAGTTTGCATGTTCTGCCCGTGTTTGCGTGGGATTCCTCCAGGTGCTCCGGTTTCTCCCACAGTCCATAGATATGTGCTATAGGTGAATTGGGTAAACAATTTCCCAGTACTGGGTTGCGGCTGGAAAAGCATCCGCTGCATAAAACATGCCAGAATAGTTGGCGGTTTGTTCCACTGTGGTGACCTCTGATAAATAAGGGACTAAGCCGAAGGAAAATGAATTAATGAATTATTTTAGAACATAATATTCCAGAATGCTGTGGTTATTCATACACTGCATAATTTCAGGTTATCCAGTAGCTTGCATGTCTCAAAATATATAAAAAAAAAGAAATAACATTCACAAAAGAATAATGCTTTTCAAAACATTGATTTGAGTTTTTTTCTCCATCGCCAGGAGCTACACAAGCAGCTGGAAGAGGCCATACAGGATGGAGAGATTTGGGTGATGCAGCTGAAAGATACTGAATATGAGCTGGAGGGAAGCAGAGATCGAGTTCAGCAGCAGGCCAATGAAATCCTTCACAAAGCCAGTGAGAATAATGTCATGACCAAATTGCATCTTTTTTTCTTTAGCATACGACTGTGAATCACTCAAGCAGAAATGTGAGAAGGTGTTTTTAGAGTGGTTGCTGCTTCGTGATGGCTTGGCAGGAATGGATTTAGCTCCATTTTTGTATTTGCTTGCAGTTTGTTCCTGTCCACAAATTATATGTCATATAGGGAGCGTTAGTCTAATGGAATTTCCCATGCATTTCATTATCAGGTCAGATTGGATCGCTTCAAGCCACCCAAATGAGCCACGAGGCCACTATTAGGGATCTGGGCTCTGAGCAGAACCGGCTGAAGGAGAAGATCCTGCAGCTGGAGGAGGAGAGAGAGAGGCTGCAGAAACAGATGCAGACGCTGGAAGAGCAGCAGCACCAGAAGATCCTCAACCTAGAGAAGGTAAGGCTTTTGCTTTATTATGGCTGATGGGAAGCAGGACTGAAACCTGTTTGGAAAAAAATGAATTTTTGAATTTTTATTTATTTATTTTTCTTCTTCTTCTTCTTTTATTTATTATTATTAATAATAATAATAATAATAATAATAATAATAATATTTATTAATATTATTATTATTATTATTATTATTATTATTGTTTATTAATATTATTTGTTATTATTATTATTATTTTTTATATTATTATTATTATTATTATTATTATTTTATTATTATTTTTTATTTATTTAGCAGGATTATAGTTTAATTTAAAGCTTTATTAATCCTCTTGGGGCAATTCATTCTGACATGGAATAATCACATATAACACAAATGACACACTTACAGTATGACCTGTTTCCAAGAAATGATTTTTTGCACACATTTTATATGCCACTGTTCAAAGGTTTAGGCTAAAATTGTATTTAAAAAATGTTTTAAATAAAAAAATAAAATGATGGGGGGGAGGGGGGGTATTTTTTAATTTCTTCTTCTGCTTCTTCTTCTTATTATTTATTATTATTATTATTATTATTATTATTATTATTATTATTATTATTATTAATAGTTATTATTATTGCTGTTGTTTATTTATATTTATTATTATTTTTATTATTATTATTATTATTATTATTATTATTATTCAGCAAGATTATAGTTTAGTTTAAAGCTTTATTAATCCCCTTGGGGCAATTCATTCTGACATGGAATATTCAGATATAACACAAATGACACACTTATGACCTGTTTCCACTAAGTGGTACGGTACGGTACAGGTTGGTACAGGTCATCTTTATCAGGCTTACGTTTCCACTGTCAAAAGGGTGGGTGTGTACGACAGAAAGTTTCAGTCGACGTCATTCTCGCTCGAGGAAATCTTGCTCAAAGTAAAGCTGTACGGGTCGTTCACATATCATATGAGAAGCACTTCTCCTAAAACAGATGCTTTATGCACAAATACTTATGTATAAATGTTCATTACTAACCTTTTTATGAAGATGATTTGATTATAACTGCAGATCAATGATGTGAAATAGCCTACTATTATGTAAATAAATGAATGAATAAATGATTAAACGAATATGAACGAGTATGTCTAGCTTTGCCTTTTGCTACCCTTTTGTTGTGCTAGGTAGCCTTTGCAAAGGGTACCCAGATAGTGGTAATGTATGGTTTACTTTTTGGTTCCTTTTGACAGTGAAAATGGCCATTAAACAATAAATATCATACTGCATAAATACACACAATAAATTCCAACACTTAACATCAATTACACAAACATAAAAATATATTAATAATAATATTAATAATAATAATAATAATAAATATAAATAATAATACAAATAAATTATGAAAATAAATAAACCAATAACAATGATAATAATACATATTAAAAATGATAAATATAATACAATAAATTGTAATAAATAAATAAATATAACAACAACAATAATAAAAACAACAACAACAACAATAATAATAATAATAAACCATCGATTATTATTTTCAACTGAACAAAAGTGACAAGACACTTCTCATGAATTTAAACTTTCTGTTTATAAAAAATACTTAAAAATTAATATGGTTTGATTAGGGATATCAAGTTAAAAATGAAATGTAAAACATTAAACCGTAAAATTGACTTTAAAAAATTAAAAAGTAAGTATAATAAGTAAAATAAAATTACGTATTTTTGATTATATGTATTTTTTATATATAATATTATAATTTTAAAAATGACTGTATATAGACATATACAGTACAAAATATACAACCGACAAAACACACAACCAAATAACAAAAAAAACGATAAAATGTAATTAATATAAAAGTAACAGAATTAAAAAAAAGTCAAATTATAAATAAAAACTATATTAACTAGCAATTATACTGAAATAAATAAATAAAAACTATTAATGGTAGTGTATTTCACCTTTTAATTTTTTTAAAATAGGCTACACTGGCTAAAATTCATGGTAACACTTTACAATAAGATTGCTAATGTTAGTTACTAATGTATTTACTAGCATGAACAAACAATGAACAATACATTTATTACAATATTTAGTCATGTTTGTTGATATTTGTTAATGAAAATAAAGTATGTATATAAGTATCACAATGCATTAACTAATGTTAACAAGCATGAATTTTATTTCATTAATGTATTACTAAATGTTGAACTATGATTAATAAATGCTGCACAAGTATTGTTCATTCTTAGTTCATGTTATTAAATACATTAATATCAACTCATGAAACCTTGTAAAAGTGTGACCGAATTGTTGTTATTCCTTCATATCATTGCTTGAACATTATGCGTTTTCCATAGACAAACCATTTGATTTTCATATTAAGTACAGCTAATTTTTAAATCTCCGGGACTGGGTCTGAACACTCATACAAGCCAAAAAAATCTACTGTTTCTAAACAGCAGTCTGAAATCAGTCACTGCAAACAGGAAACAATTATCATGGGATTCAACACAAAATATAGGGGCTTGACAATGTGTAAATGAAGCTGTGCTGTTTTGGCAGTCGCTCCGTGAGGAAAAGCAGAGCTATGAGATGGAGCTGGCGCGAATCAGGGCCAAATACGAGGAGGAAATGTCCTGTCTGAAAGAAAGCCAGGCAGAATCCATAGAAGAACTCAAGGAGAAACACCGAGTCCAGCAAGAAAGTGTTCGCAATGCTGCTGAGAGAGAGAAAAACCAACTGCTCAGTGTAAGAACATTTATCTGATTTATGTTTGTGTCATGTTCATATACAATAGAGGGCAAAGTTATTAATGTTCCTGGGAAATTTTCATTATTTAAAAAATATTTGCCAAGTGCTTTAACTTTTTTTAAAAAATGTCACTTTAACAGTGAGATGATTTTTTTTCAACACATTTTTAAACATACTAACTAATTTCTAATGACTTTTTTTTTTGCTTTTGCAGTGAAGACAGTACATGATATTTTACTAGTTATTTTGTAAGATTTTCAGCTTTAAGTGCAGTCTAAAAACTTAACTAGGTTAATGATGTTAACTAGAAAAGTTGGGTTAGGTATTTGGGTTAAAAGTCAATAAAAAAGTAAAATAAATGCATAAATTCTGTAAAAAAAAAAAAAAAAAAAAAAAAAAAAATATATATATATATATATATATATATATATATATATATATATATATATATATATATATATATATATATTATTTTACTTGCTGGAGTTGATGGCCATTTTTTCACTTGAGGACGCATTAATGGCGGTCTGTGGGTCTACTGGAGACATTCATAAATATTCCCAGCAATTTTAATAAGTGTTGGAGACATTCTCGTTACATAATCGCTCTAAATCTGCACTTAAGCTGCGTATATTTGAGGGCGTGCAAGAAGTTTTGTGCATGAACAGAGGAAATCAGCGCCCAAGCAAAGAGATTTGCATGCTCATATTACATGAATGCAATCTTGACTTGTAATACTGCACTCACAATATTTTTCATAGAAATAATGCGACAAGTAGATGGAAGATCTTTGTAAAAGGTCTGCCACCACAGCTGGAAAAAATCCTAGAGGAAACACTGTATAATTATATTATATTATATTATATTATATTATATTATATTATATTATATTATATTATATTATATTATATTATATCATATTATATTATATTATATTATATTATATTATATTATATTATATTATTCATTCACACATATTTTTTTTCGGCCTAGTCCCTTTAATAATCTGGGATCGCTACAGCAGAATGACCCGCTAACTTATCCTGCACATATTTTACGCAGCAGATGCCCTTCCAGCTGCAACCTATCTCTAGGAAACATCCATACACACTCATTCACAGCTCCTTAATATTATAATAGTTCATATAAAATTATTATTAAAACATTATTGTATTTATTAATATTGTTGATATTGTCTGCATCTTAGCTTATTAGTCTAAAATGACTAATAATTATATTATATTATATTATATTATATTATATTATATTATATTATATTATATTTAATAAAAAATTTAACTTTTTGCATATTTATTTATAATAATTATTCCATTATTTGTTTTTAACTACTGTATATGCACTACTATGAAATTGTTATAATTCTATTATATTCTATTATCTTATATCATCTTATATTATTTGTTTTTTTATGAAATATTATATTTATTTATAATAAGTATTGCATTATTTATGTTTTAACCACTGCTTGTACCCAACTATGAAATTTTAATTATTATATTATTTTATATTATATTATATTATATTATATTATATTTTATTATATTATATTATATTATATTATATTATATTATATTATATTATATTATATTATATTATATTATAGTTTACCACAAATGGAATACATGTAATTGACCACAAATAGAATATATATATAGAAATACATTATTCATTGACTGTCCTGTTGTTTTAAACCTATACAAATTTCGTTCATTAAACTGGACAGTTATGTCTCTCCTTTTAGGGTCCCAAAGATCTAATGCTTCAAAATTTTCATAATCAGATCAAAAGCTACAAGTTAAACAGTTTAATCCAAATCTTCCCAAGAGGAACATTAACTTTACATGATGAACAGATTTAGTTTTTTCTTTTATCTATATTGATCAGCGAATATTAACAGAACTATAAACGGATGTTTAAAAACCAACCTTATAGTTTTTCTAGAAACTCAAACACACCATGTTACATGCAAAAATAAAAACAAACAAACCTCATTGGTGGTCATTCTTTAAGCAAGCATGATTGAGCTTCTGTATTAAATAGCATTCCTGATTGTTGTATACAATTTAATAAAAGCCCAATTTAGGTATGTCCATCTTATAAAGAGATTGTAGCTTATCAGAATACTTTGACTGATTGACCTTTAAAGCTTGTGCATTATTTGTTTGTGAGTTTTGATTTATTAGCATTTTGGCTAAAGATATCCAGTCCCTCATGCTCACTTTAGTTTTTTCTTATTCACTATGTTCTGTTTAATAAAAATAAACTGCATCGTTAAATGCGAAACAAATTAAACATATGAATATTCAACCCTGTTAAACAAGACCGGTGGATTATCACAATTCCCCAATCATCTATTCAAACCCTGAGAGCTGCATCAAATTACATTTTCGGCTCCTCGATGAGTGGGGTGTTGATTATGCAAACAGCCATTTCTCATTGCAGTGATGACAGTGATATTATTTCCACAGTTTTTTTTTTTTTTTTTTTATGGCGCACCATAAAACAGCTCTCAATCATGACAAATATTGCCACTAATCTTCGTTTCATCTTGTGACAATCGCGCCACTTTACTTTTTAAAAAACGTCTCTGAAAGCTCTTCTGTGCAATTAAATCAGAATCGACTCCATCTGTCAGCAGCAGACTGTCCTACTGACTGGATTCACCTCTCACCTCTGTGCCCTGCTTTGGCTTTTCTAATGTTTTCTTTTCATATTTGTTTTCCCAGGAGATGAGACAACAGTTTGATATCCGCCGTCTGTCACTGGAAGAGCAGAGAAACCATTTACAGCAGCAGCTGGAGACCATACGAGAGGAGCTCACCACCAAACTCAACATGGCCAACCAAGAGGTTCACTTTCAACCGTGTTTTAGATAGTTGGAGATTTGATGTTTGTTCTGTCAGTTTCAAACTGATATAGATAGTTGATCAGCTGGGTTTTAAAATTATTGACCTGGTTTTGAATTGGTTGATCATTTAAAAGGGTAGTTCACCCAAAATGTAATTCTGTGATATTTACTCAACCTTTACTTGTTGCAAACTCTTTATGAGTTTCTTTCTTGTGTTGAACTCAAAAGAATATATTTTGAAAAAAGCTGAAAACCTGTAATTATTGACTTCCATTCATATTTCCTGCTATGAAAGTCAATGGTTACAGGTTTCTTCAAAATATCTTCTTTTGAGTTCAACACATAAAAAAACTCATAAAGGTTTAGAACAACTTGAGGGAGAGTAAACAGTGAGTACATTTTGTGGTGCATAAAACAGGTACATAGGAACCAATTAACATTTTTATGAAACGTTTTTTGTTTTCATGATTAATATGCAACTTTGTAGCTTCTTAATATTATAATAGTTTAAATAAAATGATTCATTGTTGTGTTTATTAATATTGTTGATATTGTCTGAATCTTAGCTTATTAGTCTAAAATGACAAATTAAATTAAATTAAATTATATTACATTATATTGTTGTTTTTTCATAATTTAATTCATAATTAAACCAGATATGATTTAGTAAAAGCTACAACATGTTAGAATTCACAGCTAATGCTGCTGTGCCAAAAAATTATCATATTCTGAGAAATTACTGTTAGTAATTTAATATACACACACACACACACACACACACACACACACACACACACATATATATATATATATACATACATACATATATATATATATATATATATATATATATATATATATATATATATATATATATATATATATATATATATATACAGTATATAAAAATATATAATTGAAAAATATATAATTAACCAAATTATAACCAACTATAATCATAAACAGTGTTAAACACACACACACACACACACACACACACACACACACACACACACACACACACACACACACACACATAGATATGTACTCATCGCCCATTTTATTAGGTACACCTGTCCAACTGCTCATTAATGCACATTTTTAATCAGCCAATCACATGGCAGTAACTTAATGCATTTAGGCTTGTAGACATGGTCAAGACAATCTGCTGCAGTTCAAGCCAAGCATCCCAATTTCAGCTGACCTACTGGGATTTTCACCCACAACCATCTCTAGGGTTTACAGAGAATGGTCCGAAACAGAGAAAATATCCAGTGAGCGCCAAGTCTGTGGGCACAAATGCCTTGTTGATGTCAGAGGTCAGAGAAAAATGGCCAGACTAGTTCAAGCTGATAGAAAGACAAAAGTAACTCAAACAACCACTCATTGCAACCGAGGTATGCAGAAAAGCATCTCTGAATGCACAACATGTCCAACCTTGAGGCAAATGGGCTACAGCAGCAGAAGACCACACCGGGTGCCACTCCTGTCAGCTAAGAACAGGAAACTGAGGCTACAGTTCACAGAGGCTTTCCAAAATTTAGACAAAAGAAGATTGGAAAAGCGTTGCCTGGTCTGAAGAGTCTTGATTTCTGCTGTGACATTTGGATGGTAGGGTTAGAATTTGTTGTCAACAACATGAAAGCATGGATGGTGTAATGGTTTGAGGGTTATTTTCTTGGCACACTTTTTGCCCATTAGTACCAATTGAGCATTGTGTCAACACCACTGCCTACCTGAGTATTGTTGCTGACTATGTTCATCCCTTTATGACCACAGTGTACCCATTTTCTGATGGCTGCTACCACCAGGATAACTCGCCATTTGATAAAGCGCAAATCATCTCAGACTAGATTCTTGAACATAACAATGAGTTCACTGTACTCAAATGGCCACCACAGTCACCAGAGCTCAATCCAAGAGAGCACCTTTGGGTTGTGGTTGAATGGGATATTCACATCATGGATGTGCAGTCGACAAATCTGCAGAAACTGTGTGATGCTTTCATGTCAATATGGCAAGGCAAGGCAAGGCAAGTTTATTTATATAGCACATTTCATACACAGTGGCAATTCAAAGTGCTTTACATAAACAGGAATAAAAAAGACAAGTTTAGGAAAATAAAATGCAGACAATAAAAAATAATAAAAACAGATAAAAACAAATTAAAATGAGTTAAAATAGGTTATAAAAGAATGAAAAAGAAAACGAAAAACATAATAGTGCGATCTGTCGGACGCAGCACAGTGCTCATTCAGTAAAGGCACAGCTAAACAGATGTGTTTTCAGTCTTGATTTGAATGTGCCTAATGTTGGAGCACATCTGATCATTTCTGGAAGCTGATTCCAGCAGCAAGGGGCGTAGTGGCTGAAGGCAGATTCACCCTGCTTAGACTGAACTCTTGGAACTTCTAGTTTATATGATCCTAAAGATCTGAGTGATCTGTTAGGTTTGTATTCAGTGAGCATATCTGTAATGTATTGAGGTCCTTGGCCATTTAGTGATTTATAGACCAGTAATAATACTTTAAAATCTATTCTGAATGTAACTGGCAGCCAGTGTAGAGACCTGAGGACAGGTGTGATGTGCTCTGATTTTCTGCTTCTGGTCAGAATTCTGGCTGCAGCATTCAGGATGAGCTGCAACTGTCTGACTGTCTTTTTGGGAAGACCAGTGAGGAGTCCATTACAGTAATCCACCCTGCTGCTGATAAAAGCATGAACAAGTTTCTCTAAGTCTTCACTAGAAACAAAGCATCTGATTCTTGCTATGTTTTTGAGATGATAGTATGCTGATTTACTGACTGCTTTGACATGACTGTTGAAACTCAGATCTGACTCCAGCGTCACACCAAGATTCTTGACCTTATTTTTTGTCGTTTGACCTTTAGAGCCAAGGTACGCATTCACCTTGAGAACCTCATCTCTGTTCCCAAACGCAATGACTTCAGTTTTCTCTTTGTTTAACTGAAGAAAGTTTTGGCACATCCAATTTTTAATTTCATCAATACATTGGCAGAGGGTGTCAATGGGGCTGTAGTCATTAGGCACTAAGGCTAGGTAGATCTGAGTGTCATCAGCATAGCTGTGGTAGGAGATTTGATTCTTTCTCATTATTTGGCTCAGAGGGAGCATGTAAAGGTTGAACAGGAGAGGTGCCAGAATCGAGCCTTGTGGGACTCCACATGTCATGGGTGTCCACCTCGACCTATGATCACCTATACTGACATAGTAACCTCTCCCTTCAAGGTAAGATCTGAACCATTTGAGGACTGTCCCAGACAGCCCAACCCAGTTTTCCAGCCTATCCAGAAGTATGCTGTGATCGACAGTGTCAAATGCAGCACTGAGATCCAACAATACCAGCACTGTTATTTTACCTGAATCTGTGTTTAGACGTATATCATTGATTATCTTTATAAGAGCGCTCTCTGTACTGTGATGTGCTCTGAAACCAGATTGAAAATTGTCTAAACACCCCCTGAAGTTTAAGAACTTGTTAACCTGGTTAAAAACAACTTTTTCAATGATTTTGCCAATGAAAGGGAGATTTGAGATTGGCCTGTAATTGTTCAATAGGGTGTTATCCAGATTGCTCTTCTTCAAGAGGGGTTTAACAACTGCAGTTTTAAGTGAGTTTGGAAAAATCCCTGATAGAAGTGAAGCATTTACCACTTTTAGGAGATCCATTTCTAAACAGGTAAACACCGTTTTGAAGAATGATGTGGGGAGCGTGTCAAGACTGCAGGTTGATGTTTTTATAATTTGCACCATCTCTTCTAAGATTTTACCGTTAATTGCCATGAAATCAGACATAATGTCTGACTTCTCAAGTTGTGGTTGAGTTTGTTTGATATCGACACAACTTGGCTGATTGGATGAGCTGATTGCCTTTCTGATATTATTGATTTTATCAGTAAAGAAATTAGCAAATTCATTACATTTGCTTACAGAGAGTAGCTCACTGGGAATCCGACTGGGGGGGTTTGTGAGCCTCTCTACTGTTGCAAAGAGTGTGCGAGCATTATTTACATTGTTGTTTATAAGGTTTGAAAAGAAAGTCTGTCTAGCAGTTTTTAGTTCCACATTAAAAGCCTGAAGACGGTCTTTATAGATATTATAATGGACTACTAGTTTCGTCTTTCTCCACATACGCTCAGCTTTCCTGCATTGTCTTTTCTTCATTTGGACTGCTCTTGAGTTTCTCCAAGGGACTCTCTCTTTGCCAGTTCTCTTCCTAACTTTAACAGGAGCGATGTCATTTATTACATTTTCAATTTTAGAATTAAACAAATCAAGGAGAGAATCAACAGAGTCTGCAGATATACTTGGTGCCAGCGATATGGCCTTCATAAACTGCTCACTAGTGTTCTCATTTATGCATCTCTTTCTGACAGAGACAGATCTGTCTTTAATAGCTGGAGTGATCAATATATCAAAGAAAATACAGAAATGATCAGATAGTGCCACATCCTTAACAACAGTCGATGAAATGTGTAAACCCTTAGTTATAAGTAGATCAAGAGTGTGTCCACGATTGTGTGTGGGTCCTTGAACATGCTGAGTCAGATCAAAAGTGTTAAAAACAGTCATCAGTTCTTTTACAGCATTGATTTCTGGATTATCAATGTGAATATTAAAATCCCCAGCAATACTAAAATAATCATATTCAGATGTTACTATTGATAACAGCTCTGTAAAATCCTCAATAAAAGCTGGAGAATATTTTGGAGGTCTGTAGATAATGATTAGTAAGATGCGTGGAGACCCTTTTAGTGCTATACTCAGATATTCAAAAGACAGATAGTCACCAAATGACACTTGTTTACATTCATACACATCCTTAAACAGGGCAGCGATGCCTCCACCTCTCCTATTAACTCTGCAAACACTCAAAAAGTCAAAGTTTAAAGGAGCTGCTTCATTCAGAACTGCTGCGCTACAACTGTCATCTAGCCAAGTTTCATTTAAAAGCATAAAATCAAGGCAATTTGTGTTGATAAAATCATTGACTAAAAGTGACTTATTGTTGAGTGATCTGATGTTTAGAAGTGCTAACTTAACAGTTTTAGTCGTTTTCACTACAGAAGTCTCAGATATACATTTAATAGACACCAGATTTGAATGATTTGCTATACGGTCTGAAAGAGTCTTTGGTTTTCTGTCACGTAATAAGACACATATCTGCGTAGAGAAAGCTACAGACACACTGGGTTCCTGCTTGTTCTGTAAACATCTGATAAAGACACTGTTACCTAAGCAGGCCCCCGAGACACATCAATGGCAGTTTTTAAGTTCACCAGCTAAAGATGAGGTGTTTTTTGGGACCTGGCGCTGTCGCAAAGACCTGAGGCCTTTCCTAGGTGTAGGGCGAGGTGGGCTTAGAGATGGGCGTGTGGCTTGCTGACTTTTGGTTGCTAACTGGGGGCTAGCAGCAATGGAGTGTGAGAGTTTAGTTCCAGCACACACCAGTTCCTCCATCTTTTTTGAAAAATCCAAGAGAGGCGAGCAAGATGACAATGAGAACGTGTCCGGTGACAGAGGCTGTGGGTCTGGGGTTTCTGGCTGCTGAGATATGTTTACCTGGCTGTTTTCCTGGGGATCATCAATGAGTGCTGAGACTTGATGCTGTTCTGATGCATCACAGTCTGCCTGTGTTGAGCTCAGTGTGCAGGGTGCAGACAGCAGTTTGTCCGTTATCGGCGGTTGTTGTGGCTGCGTGGTGTTATCTCTGTCCTTGTAGGATGCGTCAGCCACAAGTCCACTCAGGAGCTGATTTGAATTCCTGTGATCATCCGGACATTTGCTAGGTGTGTGTGTGTCATTCAGTTCAGTGGCATACACAGCTGATGGATGATGGAGGGAGAAGAGGATGTTGTCTTTCAGCACTTTTGCACCTAGCTTGTTTGGATGAAGGCCGTCTGATATAAACAGCTGTCTTTGGTTCCAGAAGAGATTGAAGTTGTCGATGAAATTCAGTCTTTTCATGTTACATGTTTTCTGCAGCCATGCATTTAGACCAAGGAGCCTTGAAAACATATTTGTCCCTCTTGCAGGGAGTGGTCCACTGATGAACGGCTGAATTTTCAATCTTTCAACTGTTTCCAAGAGCTCACAGAAATCTCTCTTGAGCAGTTCTGACTGCTCCTTCCGAATATCATTCTTCCCCACATGGATGATAATCCGTTTTGCAGTCTCATGTTTCCTTAATATGTTCTCAAGTTCTTTATTTATATCAGAAACTGTAGCATGAGGAAAGCAGTATGTCATGGTATCTCTGCTCCTAAAATTTTTGATTATTGAATCTCCAACAATCAATGTTCTTATCTCTGTTGCGATCGGAGCAGAATGCCGCTGTCTAGTCGGCCTTGAGCCTCTGTTCAGAGCAAAGTTAATTGCTGAGTCATGCGATCTCTGTCTGACTGCATTTGGGGAATCTTCACCCATATTACTCAAAACTTCATATCTGTTCTGAAGCTGTATTTGAGTCCGAGCTGTATTTGGGGTAGAGAACGCTAATGCAGCAGCGTTTGACCTTCGTGATCTGACCCCACGAGTACCCTTTGGTCTCGCACCTTGTTTATGCCATAGTTCACGCTGATTTTCAACAGTTTCAATCTGTTTTTCTGTTCTCAAAACAGTAGCTGGAGTAGATTTATAGGGCTTACCGGCTGAATGCTGTGAGGCTCCACGATGAACCGGTCCTGTGTAATTCGGCAGTTCTGGTTGGATCGCAAGTAACTTTGTTTCAAGAACTGCAATCTTTTGTAAAAGTTTGTGGCAGTTGGTGCAGCAGTGAGATTCCAAATCAATATGATCCAGAGCCATTTTCACAGCCGTGTTTTCCCGTCTCAGGAATGAAAGCAGCTGGTAGCGGGAGGATTGTTTAGACGATAATTCCTCTAAATAAAAGTAAAGTTGTACTCCAGAAAGTTTGTAGATTCGATGTTGATCTTCAAGCTGTTTCGTTTGAGCACTGTGCTGATAGGCTCAAGTTAAAAATAGATTATAAAATAAAAAAGCAGGAGTGCAAGGAGCGGAGCAGTAGGCAAAGACGTCCGAACAGTAGCAAAGCAGGAAGCAGTAATGTGGCCAAAATATGGGCCAAAATCTCTAAGGGATATTTCCAGTACCTTGTTGATTCTATGCCACAAAGGATTAAGGCAGTTCTGAAGGCAAAAGGGGGTCCAACCCGGTACTAGTAAGGTGTACCTAATAATAAGTGACCAATGAGTGTATATATATATATATAAATAAATAAATTAATTAATTAATTAATTTTTTTAAACATAAACATTTCCTATAAACTAGGTAAAATTTAAGCCTATCAAAAATAGTTTAATTCAACTTATTAGCAAAAAAAAAAAAAAAAGTAAAATATTAATGTCATCATAATATTAATCATAAAGGATCACTTTTTAGTGATTTGTCCTTCAGCACTGACATTACAATTAAATTGAACTGAGTCCGTTTTAATCTAACTAGAAGTGCGCCAGCATTATACCTGCCTGACATGCTAAAAATGTCCCATAGTGCAGTATTGTTTATATTTTATTTTCCTAATTATCTGCATAAAGTGGCTTTAGTCGCTACAGAAAGCACTTTCGAAATAAAATTGACTTGACATATACACTGTACGTAAATATAAAGTGTAAATATGAATTAAACAAAGTATTACCGTAATAAGTATAAAGTAAAGATGTTTTATTGAGTATTGTTAGGCATGCTCTATGCAGGAGAATGCACTGCAGTAAGAATGACCCATATTTTGTAATTTAATGTATGCATTTTTACTGTGTCTTCCCTCAGGTGTCTCATTTGAAGGATCTTGTGAAGGAGAGTGAAGAAAATCTGGATGCCGCTGAGAGCCACATCTCCTGTCTTAAAGACAGCCAAGAGAAGCTTCTCATCGAGCTGGACGTCACCAGGGCCAGAGTGAGGGAGACAAGCAATCTGCTCACAGATCTACAAGTAAAACACTGTTTTTAGCTCCTTTTTAAAAGATTATATGCATTTTAAGTCATATTCCCTTTGAGTGAGTCTTGCATTCTCCCTGAAATAATAGATTTAGGGCCAGATTTACCAAGCATGACAAATTGCACAATTTTTGTGGATGATTTATACACAATGTGCAAATTAAAGATCGAAGACGTAACACCTCATTTACATATCGACCAACGCAATAATTGCTGCACAAATTAGCATAGTGGCAAATAGGCAATGTCGATGCTCATAGGTGTTGGTGATCTACTATGACTAGACAAATCACAAGATTTTTCTAACAGGGTAACAGTGAGCTAGACAAATGAGTGGGGTGCTTAGAAAATAATTAAAATATATGATGTCAAAGTTTATTTTTATGTTATTTAGGCCTATTTAATCATTTGTGTAGTGGCCAAAGAATAGGCATATTCACAGAATAAACAAACTTAACATTAGTGACAAGACAATGACAAAAGCACTTGTCCGCTGTTCAAACAAAAAAACTTTTGCTTCATCTCAAATCACGTGTACAGAATCCGTTAGGGAAAAAGCATGTATTTATCACTATGGAGCACGTCTGACGCACGCACCGCTACATGAACTGACTGTTTTGAGGATTGTATAGGAGGGACAATGGCGCCTATAATGGTAAGGAAGGGAATCCTGCCATTTTTATATTTATTTCAAAGTATTTTCTTGCCTAAATAAAGCAAAAGCACAGACAGATTCACATTTAAGAGCAAGGGGCAGCCCCTGGTGGTTCGGCGGTATGGTTTGCGTATAGGGAGGATCTGCCCTTTAATGTTTATTGCCACCCTTCATAGAAAGACTGAAAATACAGGATCAATTTGGGAAAAATACCTTTTACAGGATGATAGCGGGGTAGAATTGTAAAATACGGCAAAATCCCTGAAAAAACAGGAGTGTTGACAGGTATGGTGTACCCAGGTGTGATTGTCCCCACTCCCCTCTCCCACTCAGCCTGCACTCACACTGCAATTTTTACCTTCCAAGCCCGGGCACACTTCATCGATGATCGCTTAGTACACAAGAGATTGCTTTAGTTATATTGTTTTGTATTATTTTAAGTCGTTTGGGATGCAATGACAATGTCAAACGCAGATGTCAACACAATGTCAAACACTGATGTCAAATCTTTTGAAGATGGCCGCTGTCATGCAGCGAGGGGTTTGCATCTTTGATAAACTATGACAGTTTATACAAAGGAAGAATGTTTAATAAATCCATATGAAACAGTTCCTTAAAAGCGGCGTTGAATCTTCAGTTTCACGCTCAGACACGATTTACACTCACACTACAAGCGTACTGCACTAAAGCCCAACTGAACCACGCTCCAGGCCACCTTTTCCAACTGGGCCTGGGCCAACCAACCAAACCACACACGGGCACAATTCAGAGCACTCCAACTTGTCAAACAAACTAGGAAATGGGGTCAAACGCACTCAGGCATGATTCAGATAGCCTAGTGTGAGTACACCCTTACAGTTATCTGTATTTTACCATATCTGACTGTAGTTATGTGAAGTAGTCCACTGTTTTTGACAGTTCAGGTGCAAGGAGAAAAGATCATACACTGTCTGAGGGAACTAAGTTCATTTTGGTATTAAGTGACTCACCCTAGTTGATTGTTCTAGGTCGTCTTTTAATTTGTGAAGCAAATGAAAAATATTATGTTTAGGCAATGTGTTCCTCTGCCCATTAACATAAATAGCACCTCCTCCCGCAAACAACATCTGCAGTCATTTTAAGTGCAACACTTTAAGACATGCTTTTGTTAGGCATTAAATATATGTGCAAATACCCATGATTTAAGGACCGTAGAAGTAAGTGAATTGCATTCTGTAATTCATTTAAATACTTTCCTCTCATAAAATTTATATCTGACCGGAAAACTCCTACAAATGCATATTCATTAAGGACAGGTGCAAAAACAGCTGTGTCCAAGCCACTTTCAGCACTATTTTTTTTTTGCTGCGTGTCTTTAGTAAATACCGACAGTGTTGTTTTACCGCCAAACAGACAGTTTGGGCTGGTGCAAGCTGCTAGTAATCTGGCCTCTAGTGTTTAGAGATGCTGATATAAAATGTTCAAGTTCTTTCACGCTTTTAGAAGCATGAAAACCACTGACGCATTTCACCGTTTAGAGAGAGAAGCAGGAATTCAGCCTGGCAATCAGTGCAATAGGAGACGGATAATGGAGCGTGGCGGAGATGTTTAAAGAAAAATTAAGCCTCATTCAATTTTTAAGACGCCCCAAAAACAGCCCCTTTTGTTCTGTGTTGAAGTCTGAGAAGTGCTGGAAGAGCCTGCATGTCTAAAGACGCCATTTGTGTAAATCGGCTCTACTGGCAACTGCTTGTTCCTTGATGAATCATTATCCACTCACAGGAGGAGATCGAGACCCAGAAACAGCAGCATGAAGCCAGAGCCATCGCTATCAAAACAGAGGAGAAGCAAAAAATGGACAAAATCACAGAGGAGCTTGATCTCAAGTGGACTGACGCTCTGAGGTGATGCACGAAACATTTGAGTCACGCATTACTGTACACGACACGGCTAAAAACAGCAACACTGGTCTGTGGACAGTACATTACAGCTAGACAGTGCTGGAGAATTGAGTTTAACAGAATTAGTTTCATATTACCTCATATTATAAAAAAATATAATATTTTAGATTTATACGTTATTATATATCATCTAAGACCACCCTAATGTATTTCACTCTATGACTATTTCACTTATCACATATTGTTTAACCACTTGGTCCTAAACTAGTATTACTATTTTCACGCTATCAAATCCTTGTATAAACAATCTCTAAAAACTCTTGAAAAGAAATCAGTTCCATTTCACCATTGTTCAATATTAAAGAAATATAATCTGCTTAGCTGGGAAAATGTTATTAAATATGTACATATTTGTCTACTGTTTAAGACTGTACATAACCCGACTTCACTAAATCAGTGAAAGTTAAAACAACTGCTCACTGAACTACTAAGGCTAGTGAAAAAAGGGATTTTATTATTCTTCTCAAAAAAGGTAAATTGAGTCAGTCTGTATTTTCAGTGAAAGCTGCTAGGGACTGGTGCTCCAATCCATCCACGATTAAAAGATTACATACTTTTGGTTCTTTTCAGTTTCATGTTAAAATTGGTTATTGACAAATCAGCAATGTCAACATTAGATCTGCATTCTTGACAGTACTTGTACTGTTTGTTCTTGCATTTGCTGTCCTCCCCTGCTGCCATTGATTCATTTTTTGCTTTGTGTTTTTCCCTTTATCTCGTTGTTTTTTACTTGTGTTTGTAGATTTATATATATATAAATCCATATAAACCCAGTCCAATTTAGAATTCAATATAAATTATTGCTTCTAGTTTTTAAAAGTTTGAATGGTCTGGCACCGACTTACATTTCTGAGCTTCTTCACTGGCACACTTCATTGAGGCCAATCAGGTCTGAACCACATTTCAGCTAGTTGTCCCCAAAACGCGGTTGAAATCAAGAGGTGACAGGGCTTTTTCTGCTGCAGCCCCCCGACTGTGGAATGGTCTGCCTTTACAGATCCGGTCATGTTCTTCACTTGGTGCTTTTAAGTCTCATCTAAAAAATCACATTCTGTCTCTTGCCTTTGATTGTAATTAATTTTAATCTGTTTTATATATTTTGCAAATTTTTTATATATAGGTATAGATTTTGTATGCTGGTCGTTTTGTAAAGCACTTTGGTCAACATCTGTTGTTTTTAAATGTGCTCTATAAATAAAGCAAACAAACAAACAAACAATATATATATATATATATATATATATATATATATATATATATATATATATATATATATATATATATATATATATATATATATACTTCCTGAGAAATAATATTTCTAAAGGAGCTTTTAACATGGAATTGAACCAAATTTTGGTAAAAACACAAACAATACAAACATAAAAATAAAGCAAAACAAAAAGATCTGAAAAATGAGTTACGTTTAATAACAATGAAATGACACAAAGGAGAAAGTGCTGAACTACTGAAACGTATTTAATACTTTATATAAAAGGCTTTTTTGTTGATGGAAGCTTAAAGACTTCAACAGAGTGTAAAAATCTTGATGGTTCTGTGGGTCTCGTCTATCAAATCTGATCTTTATTCTGTATTTTCTTTTGGCATGGGTTTCCTTCGGGTGCTCCAGTTTACCCCACAGTCCAAAGACATGCGCGAATTGAATAAACTAAATTGGCCGTAGTGTATGTGTGTGAATGAGAGCGTATGGGTGTTTCCCAGTGATGGGTTGCAGCTGGAAGGGCATCCGCTGCGTAAAACATATGCTGGATAAGTTGGCGGTTTATTCAGCTGTGGGGACCCCCGATTAATAAAGGGACTAAGCAGAAAAGAATGAATGAATGAATGAATATTGGATTCAAGCCAGGTGATTGGCTGGGCCATTCTACAGCTAGATTTTCTTTCTCTGAAAGTATCTGAAAGTTTCCTTAGCTGTGTTTTGGATCATAATCTTGCTGAAATGCCCACCCTGGTTTCATCTTTATCATCCTGCTAATGTAGATATTGGACTGAAGCAGCTAATATTAATTTACACTGACAAAGGGCAGAGGCTGGCTGAAGAACTACTGAGAGATTTCAGCTGCTGTCTGGGCTTTCACTGCCTTTCTACTCCTCCCTTCCTTCATGTGTGCAATACTTTTTCCCTGCGTCATTTCATTTTATTACGCTATAACTTCATTTTTAAACAAATTACATTTTTTTCTTTGCATATATGGATTTCTTTGGTTGCTACCAACATTCGGTGAATTTTTCAAGTCAACAGCACCATTAGAAATTTTATAGAATAGTTTTCTGAGGAAAAATTTCCCCACTGTAGTGTATTTTGTGTTATTATTATTTTGTTTTTATTTTTCGGTGTGACTTTTTAACATTCTGTCAACGATCTGTAGGTAAAAGATTCTGGCACATTTTAGAGTAATGTTTATTAATGTGCATTGCCCCTGTAAACAAATAAACTAAACTAAAAACTAAATGTACACAGTTTTTGTTCAATGTTTTCTGCAATGTTATATTTGAGTATGCAAATTGAGCATTTTTTAAATAAAAGATGCACTAATATACAAAGATTTCTAGCTCAAAAATAAAACCATTTGATAAAGTCAGGTTCATAATTCTTGTTTCTGTTTTGCCAAATTCTTATAATTCAGGAAATACTTTAAACAGCCAGTACATATAAATGCGAAGAGTAAAGTGTATGTAATCAGGGAAATGATGTATTAACAAATCACTCTGAAAACCTTATCAACAGATATGAATGAAACTGAAGTTTGATATATGTACAGTGCTGCTGAAGTGGAGATTTGTGTAGAAAATAAAATGTGTAATAAATAAATTAAAATATGTATTGTAATATATTGATAGTACACATATGGATAGTATTATAAAAGAAACACTTATAAGTTCATTTTGGATATTGTCTTTCCATTAAACTGGAAACGCACCTCATGAGAAAAAGTCCAAAATCTCAAAACACTAGTGTCTCACCTTAAATTGAATAATCTATAACTGAATGCATTGTTTGATTTGGTGTAGATGGCAAGTCAAATCTTTAACAACATTAAAAAAAAGCAGTCTGTCTTGCACCCAAGCCTGTAACAAAATCCTCTTATGCAGGTCTGAGATTGGATTAAAATATGCTAATTACAAGAGTAAGAGGTTAATTCTGCACAATGGCACATGGTATACAGTGAGCTAAAATGTCTTATTAACATCTTAACATCTCACTTTCACTTCCTCACTGTTTAAGTAATGCATCCTTGTATGTGTTTCACCCTGTCAGTCCTTTCTTTCTGCGTTTGGTCTCAGGGCTGAGCTAAAGGGTCTTCGGGAGGAGCTTACAGCTGAACATCAGGCGGAGAAACAGGTGGCGCTGACACAACTTTCCCAGCAGAGAGATCTGGAGATGATGGCGGCTAGAGAGAGCTGGCAGAGGAAGGTGGAGGATCTTCTGGAGCAGGTAAGAGAAGGATGTGGGGTACTATCATACCCCTGGTGCAATATGTGACTTTATTTGTTGCTATTTTCAGACTGGCGCAGGTGTCATTTTCATGTTTTGCGCCATGTTGTTTAAATAACAAATGTTTTTGCTCACTGGGCATGCAGGTCTAAAAAGGAGATGTGTTAACTGTTAGCGCATTGCTATTCTGAGGCAACGGAAATAGACTAAGCCATTGACCAAATAAAAGCTGGTCTAAAGTCAATGGCACAGAGTTTTTATTATTTAAAGTGCATGTTAGTTATGCACCTATGCGGTTCCAAAACATGCAAACACATTGCTTATTACACACAGCAATATACAAATATCTTTCCATATGAAAAATTGTAAGCGTTAAAGTGTTAAAAATTAAAAATAATTATTTTATTTTGTACATAACTATAAAAAACACTTTGAAAGGGGGAGCTTTGAAATCCAGCTTTGTTGTAGTCAGTTTATTCATGATATGCATTTGTTTAGTGTTAATATTATTATACTATAAATGTTTGTTGGGGCGGCACTGTGGCGCAGTGGGTAGTGCTGTCACCTCACAGCAAGAAGGTCGCTGGGTCGAGCCTCAGCTGGTTCAGTTGGCATTTCTGTGTGGCGTTTGCATGTTCTCCCTGTGTTGGCGTAGGTTTCGTCCGGGTGCTCCGGGTTTCCCCCACACTCCAAAGACATGCGGTATAGGTGAATTGAATAAACTAAACTAGCCATAGTGAATGTTTCCCAGTACTGAGTTGAAGCTGGAAGGGCATCCGCTGTGTAAAACATATGCTGGATAAGTTGGCAGTTCATTCCGCTGTGGCGGAAACAGGCAAACAGTCAGAACAGGCAGCAAGGTATCAAAACGAGAAAACAAAGCAGAGATCAAACACAGAAGGACAAGAAATGAGAGTCTCAAAGTGAGTCATATATACAGTATGTGTAATCTAATCAGTTCATGAGCAGCATCAGCTGTGTAAGTCTAATCAGTGGAGACTTGGAGCTGGTGTGTGTGTGTGTGTTGCATGACAGGACTTGAAGTTCATATTGAGACAGGATTGTAGTCTATGTAAATGTGCATGTTTTCCAGCGATCTATGAAGGTTAGATTGTCGGTTGATTGTGACAAAGCTGAAGGAAAACGAATGAATGAAATGTAAATGTTAATTTAAAATATTAAATGTTTGTAAAAATAAATGTAAAAACAAAAATCTGGCAAAAAACAAACAAAAATATAACAAATTAGAAGCAAATGATTTTTTACACTTTTTTTGTTTCTCGTATCATATCTAGAAGTAAATATTTGTAAAAAAAAAAAGTGCTCGTATTTTACAATGTTGTGACATCTTCCCCAAGAAATGAGACTTGCATTCATTCATTCATTTTCTTTTCGGCTTAGTCCCTTTACTAATCTGGAGTCGCCACAGCGGAATGAACCTGCAACTTATCCACTTTGTTTTACGTAGCGGATGCCTTTCCAGCTGCAACCCACCACTGAGAAACATCCATACACTCTCATTCACACACATACACTACGGACAATTTGGCTTACCCAATTTACCTATACCACATGTCTTTGGACTGTGGGGGAAACCGAAGCAACCGGAGGAAACCCACGCCAACATGGGGAGAACATGCAAACTCCACACAGAAATGCCAACTGACCCAGTCGAGGCTTCTTGCTATGAGGCAATCGTGCTACCCACTGACGCCCTATGACACTTATATATTATAATATAAATAGTGTTGTTTAAAATCAAATAAAACTTTAACAAAAGACCAAACCAGCAATGTAGTAAATAAAAAAGGCAAATGACCTGTATGTAAATATATATTAAAAGACTTCTGTTAACTTCAAAGTGAAATACATTATTCGTAGAACAATATTCGTCTAAACGCATATGTCATTAATCATATGTTAATGCCCCATAGTTTTTGACACCAATACAATGAAGATTCCTGAATGAAATGTCTTTGCATCATAGTTTAAACTTTAATATCTAAAATAAATCTTTCTTGCATTTTGAATATGAGTTTTACCTACTGTACACAGTATCAGCTTATCATTTTAAAAGAGCAAAAGCACGTACCTGTTTTCCATCATATGTCTTCTTGAATATGTTAATTTAAAGCTGTGTGACTTCTGAGACCGAACAAAGTCCCATAGCTGTGATTCTTATTTGAGTAACTGTCATCCACTTTCATCAGTCATTTAGCTCAGACTGAAGTGATGTTCACTTTGATATTCTGAGGCCGTCAAGGCTTTTCTGCTCTTATCCTGCAATACCAAGCAAACCTGTAAATCCTATGCAAGATTGCAGAGATATTTAAAGGAGACATGCATATATTATGCCTCTTTTCACAGGGTGTAAAATACATCTCTACTGATGCGTGTCTGTGAAGTTTCAGCTTAAAATTCAGTTCACAATTTCAGTCTCTGTCATTCCGTCCAATGATTTCGCATCTTCATTAACACTTTAAATGCTTTTACACTGTATGTTTGCTGCATTTATAAAGCATTCGTGTCTTGAGGTCAGTCTGTCTGGTGTGATTTTTTTTATGCGGGACTGATCACAATCACCATAGATAAGAAAAATAAACATATAAAGTAGTGACTGCAGGTTGAAGGAAAATAGCGCAGTAAAAGTACAAATACTGCACGACACAAAAAATGACCTAAGTAAAAGTACACATGAAGAGTTTAGATGCAAAAACCTCAAAGCCATTTCATATTTTCTTCTAATATTAGCATTTTTCTCCTACTCCTGTGTGTAGGCTCAGTAATTTTACCTTTAAAGTGACAAACAAATTCATTTCATTACCTTTTAAGTGAAATAACTGAACATAAACATAGGTCATAATAAAAAAAATGCTCATTGTAGGAAAACAATTCAAATAGCAGTTAAAGGTTTTTGCATCTGAACTCTTCACATTAACTAAAATTACTTTACTTTGCACCAATTTATTTTACTTTACACCACTGATGGGTTGTCCATGTTCATGTTTTCGGTGTTGGATTATGCACTGATCATCTGATTATATCATCTAAACAAATATTCCTAGCTGATGGAATGATCTTCCCATCTTCCCCTGCATACTACTAATTCATTGGTAACATTTAAAAGACAACTGAAAACACATTTTTTCTGCAAACACTTGAGCACTTAACCTAAAAAAATCTCCTACTCTAGCTCTTAATTCTCTTAACACTTACATTTCCCTTGCATAAGCAGCAATTCTTGTTTGTATTGCCTCTTCATACTGAATCAAACAAAGAGAGGGAGAAAATCCCAAGACATTGTCTCAGAAAAATAATTCCAGAAATATCATTTTGCATGAAATTGCCATCAAATTTGTATTAGTCCGGTGCATTTTTTTTTTTTTACATTACTTAAGCATCTATAACTTTTTTTTTTTGAGCATTATAAACTCTAGATGATGAACCGTAAAGCCCAAAGTGACTTCTTTTCAAAGATTCATGAACTGTGAATGTAGACCAAATCATTCAGCAACTGTTACTGTTTTAGTTTGGAAAGGTCATTTCTGAGAATATGCCTCTGGCAGTGAGGGACAGAAGGACATCGATATAGTCTTGGAAAACTTTTTAAAGAAAATTAAATTTTGCATGCTATCTTTGTCAAATTTAAAATATAAACTCACGAGACTCTTTTTTTTTTGTAGGTCATTACATTAATGTTTTTTGTGCTTGTATATGGAAAAACAGATAGACCATAGTAAAGCTCAACTTGTCTTCTTTCCAATGATACCTACTTTTTGTTTGTAGCTCACTGGGGTCAAGAACTGTTACTGTTTAAAGTTAAGTAGTTGTAAATCCCCAAAAGTGAGTGCTGGCTAAGAGGTCATGCATCTTTTGTATGTTGCTATGGACAAAAGCATCTGATAAATGACTAAATGTAAATGTAAATATGTCTTCTTTAAAGTCGACATCAATTAAAAATATTCACTTTGTATTTGCTTCATATTTTGGTTGTTTTAAACAATGTAAAACTAAATTGGCCGTAGTGTAAGTGTGTGAATGAGTGTGTATGGATGTTTTTGAGTAATGGGTTGCAGCTGGAAGGCGCTGTGTAAAACATATGCTGGATAAGTTGGCAGTTCATTCCGCTGTGGTGACCCCTGATGGGACTAAGTCGAAGGAAAATGAATGAATGAATAAATGATGTATCTGTGCACTTCATTATTTTATAGAAATTCAATTGCTTTTATAATCTTTAATGTAAAACCATGACCTTCACTTTCCCCTTGAAATGACTTTTCTTCACTTCTGGTCGCATGGAGTGCCTTTAGGGCGGGGCTATCAGTCATTTAGGGTGGGGCTATCATTATTTTAGATGCGGGGCTATCAGTGCAGGTCATATTTCTGTCCTGCTTTTACAGGAGGCAGTGGTTCGAATGAATATGATACGATTTTGTCTGTAAAAAAATAGCTCCTTGTTCTTGTCATCATAGGGCATTTAAAAAACATTCTGACAGTGACTGCGGTGGACAGTAATCCTCTACAACTGAATGCAAACTTGTCATCACTGCCCATCTTCCTTTGATCCAGCTGCTTCCCAAAGGACAAAATCAAGCACCAAGTTTTGTCTTATTTCAGAAACTGTTTCCATCATTTGTACATCAGGATAGAGGAAAAAATACATTAGTTAAAAATACATACTTAGCTTCTGTTTCATGCCAACTTTAATGTTAGACATTGTAGATCATTTGAGCTTTTTGAAATTTCCATTAAAGAGCCCCTGTTATGGGTTTTTGAAAAATGACCTTCCATGCAGTGTAGCACATGCAGCTCTAAGTCAAGTGAAATCATCCAGCCAAGGCTTAAATCTGAAAGTGCATCGTGTTTAAAACTATTGATTTATCTATAAAAGAGTCGACTCTGAATAGTTTAAGTAAATCGTCAGGGTAATGAATATTTAGCCGTGTCAGCATAACGTTGATACGGAACTCAAGCACCACCCATTTGTTGCGCGCGCAGAC